TCGTCGACAGGATCCGCCTATCTGCTCGTCATACCAGCAGCCCTTCGTACCGAAGTACTCAAAGCATGCCACAACGAGGTGACCTCTGGCCATTTGGGTTACATGAGAACGTTGGCCAGAGTACAGCAAAGGTATTACTGGCCGAGACTAACCACAGCCGTGAAGCACCACGTTCGTACCTGTCTCGACTGCCAGCGACGCAAGTCACCACCGACTAAACCAGCTGGCCTCCTGCAGCCCGTGCAGGTCCCAACAGCTCCATTCTACCAGATAGGGATGGACATTTTGGGCCCACTACCTACTTCTACTGCAGGGAACCGCTAGGTTATCGTCGCGACGGATTATCTGACTCGTTATGCCGAGACAAAGGCTATCCAGAGAGGTACAGCAGCGGAGGTGGCAAGATTTTTCATCGAAAATATTGTACTGAGGCATGGTGCACCAACCGTCGTGATCACAGACAAAGGAACCGCATTTACGGCAGCTCTTTTGGATCACGTCCTGATGCTGAGGGGAACAACGCATCGTAAGACAACCGCCTACCACCCACAAAGAAACGGGCTGACGGAGCGTCTGAACAAAACCATTGAAGACATGCTTTCGATGTACGTAGACATTGAACACAAAAATTGGAATGAAATCTTGCCATACATAACGTTTGCGTACAACACGGCCAAGCAAGAAACGACCCGCATGACCCCGTTCAGCCTCGTCCATGGACGAGAAGTACGAACTATGTTAGATGCGATGCTGCCGCATGAAAGTGACGACATCGACCCAGACGCCAATACGTTTACGGATCCGCCAGCAGCAAGAGTACGATGCAGGCCGCTACAATGCTCACCGCAGAGCAGTTGTCTATCAAACTGCCGACAAAGTATGGGTTTGGACACCCATACGGAAACGAGGACCATCAGAAAAGCTCTTAAGAAGATACTTTGGGCCATACCGAGTGCTGCGACAACTGAGTGACGTCACTTACGAAGTCGTTCCCGACAAGGCGTACTTGTGCTTTGTTCGCGTTGTACTGCGACAATATATATATATATATATTTGTAAAAAGAGAGAAATGAAATAGAAAGTTATAGGCAGAAGGGGTACAAGAAACATAGATAAAGAGAAGAAAAAAAGAATTAGAATGAAGAGAAACAAGGAAGGTAACACAGCTACGTTTTCTTTACTGCTTGTCACACCACTATATTCAGTGATGGCCTAAAAATAAATATTGGCTCCGTCCACGAGGCCACATGGTCCTATTTTTCACGCTTCCACCATGTTGCTACTTTAATCTGCGGAAGCGATGGAAAGCGATAAAGCGTTGCAAAACACTCCGAGCTACTGCAGCTTCGCTGCACATCACACGCGGCACAATCGCAAACTTCATAGAATGTATAGAATGGCGACCGGTGAGGATGATGTTGTATACGTGTGCATAAGAGCTGCATTTTTATTGGTGAGTTCTAACCATTCCGTCATAGTAAAGGGCCGCTCTAGTTGGACGCGCATAAGGCAGATGAACAGTAGCCATAGAGTAGTATAAAAGGTCAAGAGAAAACACTTCCATAGACCTCTGCGGCTTATTTGGGTTTGCAGCGCACCAGACGGGTGTGGCGAAACTTTGCAGCCTCAGAGATGGCAGACCGCAGAAAAGACTGTCTTGAAGACCATTTTGTAGTGACCAGGATTATTATGCAGCCTCCGAGACTACTTCTACGTGCGTGCTCATGTCTGAGGCCATATTTTAATTGTTTTTTTAACGCGTCGTTTGCATGCATCGATGAGCTTCGTGTAAGCTGCACCACTAGAGCGGCAAGCACACGATGTCAATCAATGTGTGTCTATGCATATATTTTAATTAAAAGATGAGAATCATTGGAGGAGCAAAAACGTTTATGTTTAAGGGATATTCTTGGTAAGCACATATCCACTTACTTATGTTTGATAAACGCAGTCACAAAGGGAGGTTTATTGCGCTGAGACGCGAAAATATTGCTGCCATATTGTGATTATAAATTACACACAAGAAATAAACATATAGGCAACAATATAACAAGAACCGCAGCAGAATAAAACTGCAATAAACGCACACAACTACACACACAGTGTACAACGCTACACGGCAGTAGTTGCCTCAGCACTTGATTCCAACATGAACAAAAAAAAAGTAAATGTTGGCTACGTTTTTTTCCCACCTTCGCACTAATTTTCTCCTGCACACTTTACATCGCTCTTTCGCGGAAAACAGCCCCAAGCAGTTGCCGCAGCAAAAAAAAAAAGCAATTTTAGGTGTCATGAAAGCCGTTAACGAAGCAGGAGTGTTTACTGAAAAATTACGTCCTAGCTTTAGCTCGCAAACATTTTTCTATATTCACCAATCATTGCGTTCATTCGATCGAGCTTCAAACAATTTGCGAACGAGCAATAGCTGCACTTTTTACAAAATCTCACTCATGCAGTGAATTTGAATACACGTAGCGGCACAAAGAAAACCTAACACCGCGAGCGCCGACTCAATTTCTTGAGCCAAGAAAGAATTTCCTCGCAAACATGCGGCGAAGCATTGGAGGCTGTTTTATTTCGTGTGAAACTATCCGCGAAGACAGTACGTGAATTGAGAGAGAAATAAACGTTTATTTAGAAAACAGTAGCGTTCTGAGGAAGGCCCGGTGTCACCCTAAGGTGGGAGGGTTCCCTAATCCAGGAACCCTCTGGCTTCGACTGCCCTCTTGGCCCTGGCGACGAGTTGTCGCTGGTCTTCCAGGTCCTCGAGGACGAGCTTGGCCTGCCACGTTTCCACGCGAAGTGAAGAGCACAAAAAATATCTCTGCGCCGAACAGCACAATGCCAGAAACGTTAGGTTAAGGCTTCATTGACAAATGCAATACGCACTTAACATAGTATTGATGGCGTTCGTACCGACCAGTAGCCAAGCTGAGAGGCAGCCGAAACAAGCAAAGACGATGACGCACTCCAGGCACGTTAATGCACATTTTTTATGGCATCTCTCTGCTGCTGTCCGTACTTCTTCACTGCCGCAAACGCTCATGAACACGCAGCGCGACAACGTTGCCGTCGCGTCCAGGCCATGTGCACTTCTGTCGCGTACCATTCATGCCTGATCCCAGCCCGACGTTATCGCACCGTACAATCGCAGACGATAAATACGGATTCAGCCACTATCACGTGCGCAAAAACACGTAGACGTATAATGCACTAGAAAAGGCACTGTGGTAAATAACTAGTACGCGTGTCTTCTTGAAGCAGTAAGTGATGTGTTGCCATCTTACGGCTTGGGTGAAGATGCGTAGCTCAGCCGCTTTTTGGCCCGAGTTACCACTCTTGTCATTTTTATGTTACTCTATGCAGTAGCGCACTTAACGTTTACTCTTAGCTTGTCGCAAACTACAGTGGGAAGCTGCCACGACGTTTTAACAGTATCACGCGAACGCTGAGCGCCGGATATGGTATCCCCTGCTCATTTCTTCTTCGCTCCCAGAACACGGGTGCCGATTCATCCGGCATGGGATGCAATACTTTTGATAGCTAAGAGAAAGAGTACAGAGAGAAAGAAGAGAGATAGAAAGAGTGAGATTAGAACCCACGCACACACGACCCAAAGGTGAGCACCGGAACCACGCGGCTATCCAGACACATCATAGTACAGCACAACATAGCCTCGTATAAAAGTATAGCCTCGCATAGGAAAGGGCCAAAGAAAGTGAGAGCGAGAAGAGATGTGAGGGGTGAGGAAGATAGAAGTGAGGAGGAGAGAGTAAAGCGCAGCATACAGACAAAGAGAGAAAAAGCGACAGAGAGAGAAAGAAAAGAAAACAGAAAGGAAAGCAAATATTGAAGGAGAAAGATTAAGAGAAAGAAGAACATGTTGATGAAAGGGAAAGATGTAGAAAGGTACATGAAGCTAGAAAAAGAGAAAGAGAGAAAGAAGGGCGCTATAGGAAAGAAAAAAAGAAAGGGCGTGAAAGAGCAATAAATAAACACAAACATAAGTACAAGGACATAGAAAATAGAGTTTAGAGAGCAACACAATGAAAGAGATGAACAAATGAAAAGAAAAATAAAGATGAACCAAAAAGCCGCCCACTTCGGCACTTGCCTGAGGTTTGGCCCCACTAGAGCGAAGCTGCCATTTTTTCTCATTTTTTCTTGAACTCAAGCGTACAATGAAAGTCTGCTAACCAAAAGCGTATCATCATTTTCAAACGGTGTCACATCGACATTCTTCTTACGATCATTTCTCAACGTTATATTACATGATGTTTAGTTATACTTTTCGTTTCACTCAAACATTCTTTTTCTGCTACGCTAACACATATAACCTTAATACTTGATACGAGACTAGTAAAAAACTTGTAAAACAGCCTTCTCCTTTGCCAGTTCCCCCTAATGGGTATGAGCAATCGATGGTTGGTTGGTTAGTTCCTCAACATCTTGGGGCAAGCAGCTCCGGGGGATAGGCTATGAATTAGACCGTGCCTTGCTTATTAAAATAATTCAATTTCTGAAGGAAAGAGTTGAAAATGAATTGATCAGCCTTTACGAGGAGTAATTTTAACTTGTAGAATTTCACACACTTAGAAAAAATCCTTTAGAAAAATAACGTCAAAAACACGCGCACACATTCAAAAACACGTCTGTACCCAAGACAGCTTAAGTTACACTTAGCATTCAATTCTTTTAGACTCTCGTAAAAAAGTTGATTCAGCGTTGAAAACAATCCTGTGACTAAAACAAAATGTGAATGCGCTAGATAAAAGAATCACCGGAAGCAACAAAGTCAAGTTCAAATTTCTTAAGGGTATTTCTAGTAGTCATTCTTTTTAAATTTTAAAGCTTTGGCATGTCAAAAAGAAGTGCTCCGGAGATTGACTCTCATTACAGTGAAGGTATGAAGGCGACTGGACCAGACCTGACTTTCGAAGGTCAAGAAAAAAGAACAAATATAAGAGAAGAAGAAAAAGACGAAGCAGAGAACAAGTGCCATGACCGTTCGAAGTAAGACAACGAAAAATGTCTGGAAAAGGAAGAGTGCTGTACCGACCAGCATCGTCCTTATTCTATTTCTTAGCGGTGGAGGGAATGCTGGTAAGTCTTGCGAGAGTGAAGCTTCATTGCGTCAGACTGCAGATACCTCAGTTGACTGAGATGGCGATCCTCCCAGGCGTTCAGCGGCAATCTCTTTCGAACACAGTTTCATTTTCGGGAGATTTCAACATGTCCGCGCGACGGGCGTCCCCGGCACGCTACCATAGCAGAGCCAGTACAGCGCCGCAACTTTGCTATACCTGTATACGTCGAGTGCATCCTGCGCTAATACAGCAAAGGTACTTCCTAAAGTGGTGGACTAAACATGGACAATGTGTTAGAGAATCTGTATATAATCATGACCAACTATACCTTAGCGCACATTTGAATCCCATTTGTGGTTTGTCCAACGGGAAAGCGAAATGATTATGCTGGGGACAATGCTGTACACTTATGCGATCTAAACTACATCGTAGAAAGCACCCCTGCTATGTACTGAATGTCACAACGATAACACAATATTGAGGCAAAACTGTGAAGCCGCTCGAGAACAGGCGTCCAGTTTAGAAAGATCGAATGAGAAAGGCACACTTCTTAATAACTTCGACGTGACTGTACGCAGATGAGCTTGGCCCATTCATTCGGAACTACGAGTTGCTATCCTATCCTACCCGGAGAGCGAGCAACGACAGCGTCCGAAGGGTGAAGCGCGGTGCAGAGCATTGGTCCAACGCTGAGCGTGTTCGTTTCAAGGCACTTGGAAGGTGAGATACTTCACAGCAAGTCGTTAAGGTCTTTAACAGAGATCCATTTAGCTGTTTATTTTTGCAGAAAAAAATGAAGCAAAAAATAAAAAAGAACGAAGGCTCTAGCCACGCCTTCTATTCATCAGCATCAGCGACTAAGCGTCTGAATACGTCGTTTGCTTTTATAGTAAGGCGTGAGCCGCCAGACTGCAGGGCCACTATTCCACGTAACTTCAACGTCCCACAATATTCTAGTCACTCTGAGCAGTTTTACACTTTGCGTGTGACATTCTGGAGCGGAGGTCATTAGTCGGGAAGTTCATTTTGAAGTTCATGTCCATCGAGCGTGCCCGCAATTTCTGGATTGACGCAATAAACCACTGGCACTTAGAGAGCAAAATTGCTTTTTGGACGGGCTAGCTCGCTAGTAAATGCTTAATTAAGCAATATGAATGGAACTCTGCGCTGGTTTACATTCACACTTCTTCAACATTTTTTAGAGAGTTTCGCCTCGTACTGCACCCTGATTTGTCTTCGTTCTCCGAGGACTTCGTCATGACCACATCGGGAGGTGCTGTGGACGTTGACCTTTCGCACATCTTTTCCGGCCATATAGAAGGTGTGTATGGCCCTCTTGTTTGTGCAAGTAGTTCCCACGCTAATGCGCTTTATTCCAGGCTTGGCGAAATTCGCTGTGTTATGTATGGCACGAAAATTACCTCACTAAATGAGCAAGCACACTATAGTTTACCGGCCTCTACGCAAGGTGTCTTGTTATTCCTGTTTTTGCATAGCTGAGAGAGACATGTATCTTGCTGATGTGACCTCTTGGGGACAAGTCTGGCCATAAATTATCATCAGTGGTCCTCATAACTTGCTAAAGTAGTAAGTGGAAGGCACTGTCACGTCGCGCATTAGGTCAAAGTGTCAATGTACTTTCACTGCATGTATATTGAAAAATGCTGCATTATACCCGCCACCGTCATTTTTGTTGTAATGCACACGTATTTCATATCGGAGCTACCACTACCTAGTATTGAGATACCTTTAACTTTTGGGCTATGATCGATGCGTATGAGAGTGGTCTATCAGCCATTTTTTTCGTTCATTTTTTACCTAAATGCGAGCAACTTATGTTGCAACTCAAGTCAACGTATTCGTCAGGAAGTATGTAAGAAAAATGTGCAAGAGTGTGAAAAAAAAAGGACAATACAAGAAACGCCCCAAAGCCGCACAGGTTAATACATGAATAAAAGATAAAACCAGACATCTGACTAGATATATGAAATTTTAATACTGATAGACAACAGGGGATGCGACAAAATAATTAAATTCAAAAAGCTCTAAGGCATGTCGTTGAAAGCATCGTGTGTTCAGTGTATGGGTAGGTGACTGAGAATTTATTTGTAATCCCACCCGAGTTCAATCGGTCAGTATTATATAAGCGAAAACATTTAGCTATAATTTCAATGCTTCACACACATCAACAGAGAGGTGTACTTACAGCAGCCACGTATGAAATAACATGGCATTACTTTGAATGAAATCAGGCAAATCGATCACGCATTGTTTCTTTGTTACACGCAACCTTAATGAAACTAAATGACAGTGGAGCCAAAAGAGGCACTACGGGCATTAGGGGTAGTTTCCAACTGCGATCTAGTAATTGACACCAATTGAAAAGAGTCAAAAAGGAAAGAAAAATGGCACCGACAGGTACCGAACCTACAACCTGTAATTTTAAAATTCACTTCCCGCAGACTTGAACAACATAAGTGCATGGCAGCGATTAGACACATTTATTTATCAAATTCGAAATTATTAAAAATATGCTTGGGCAATTAAAGTGAACAAGCACACGGCCATGATCACATTCAATCTTCTCACGGTGGCCTGAACACCAAAATTCAGACGAGAAATTAAATCGATAACAGCGACGTCTGGTGTTCACGACAGATCGCATCGTTATAAGTTTCATAGGTTGCTATCGGCATAATTGCATTACGGCAAATCAACAAGCTGACATGGCGGTATTTTGAACCAGTCAGAGACGCCATAGCAGTACACTCGACCAATCAGCGCTGATAAGACAGTAAGTTCTTCAATATGACGGAATTATCGACCATGTTCTGATTGGCCCCCATGGCATGTATTGTTAATAAAATTGCTCCGATTCCACGAATACATCATGAATAAAAAGCTACCAGAAAGCTCCCGTTAAGCAAATGTTCGGAAGTGCAGATTTCATTTTGATCATAGAAAAAGGACACATTTCTGACGCACATCTGCAATATAAGTGTGGCTCACGAAAATTGCTGTTTGGATTTGACATATGAGGAATCTATTATTCATTAAGGAAAAGAAAGAAAAGAAAAAAAAGTAAATAACCCAAGAAACTAGCAATCATTCAACGCGTAGGTGCAGAACTTGATATGAATAAACCGAGCAGTTAATCCTGGTAGGGGGATTAGGAGGTGCCGGAGTTTTTCTCGACTGCGTTCCGCTACGATGGCATCTGGAAGGTCGTTCAACATACGGATGACGCGGGGGAGGGCAGATGAGTTAAAAATGTATATTTTATCGCAGATGCGCGTGAATGAAAGATGAGTATGCCGTCTCTTTGATGTGAATGCAGATGTTTGCAATATTATAGGTAACGGCCTTGCTTCGAGCACGTATTTATGAAATAATCAAAGGAGGGTAATAAGAAGACGGCTGCTGAAGAGGAAAAAAAAGGTGATAAGTTTTTTTTTTAAATTTGTATTATGCTTGCGCTGTGATCATAGTTAGGGGAGATGAATCTAGCAGCTCTATTCTGGATCGACTTCAGCACGTTAGTTAAATAAGAGTGATGAGGAGACCAAAGTGCAGAAGCGAATTCGAGCTGAGGGCGGACAGATGTTATGTATGCTAAGGCACGCATATTTGTGGGCGTCTTACGTAGATCGCGGCGTAAGTAGCCTAATGATAATGAGGCGTTGCTGCAGATGTTGGTGATTTGTGCAGTCCAGGAAATGATAGATGTTAAGGTTGCACCTAAATATTTTATATTTAGGGGTAACTATATATAGGTGTAATATAAAACATTTACACCTGAATATATTCTTAACACTGACACACACCACAGTAGTACTAGCTTAATAAGCGTGTACATTTATATGTTATCGTTGTAGGACAACGATGTGGCCACCAATAAAACGATTGAAGAAAGGGACATTTCAGCCTGCGCGAGATGTCCGCTACTCATTTTATCTCTGTGTGGGCAAATGTGCTGTGGATAGATTTAGCTGCACCGGTTGGTACCTTCAGGCTTCGTCTCAAAAAGGCACGATATAGTCGTGCTACGAATAATTGTTGTCCATTTTCTCTTGTGGGGCTATGATTAATTTTCGCTCCTTTAGTTATCACTTCTTTCATGTATTGTTTAACTTGTAGGCAAATAAACGTGCCTGTACCTGAACATTTTATATCATACGATTATGCGCCTTGCAACATTCCAGGTGATCCGGGCAGTCGGGTATTTGGTTCTGTCGTGGATGGTGTATTCCACGGGCGCATCAGCGCAGCCAGCGGGCACACCTTCTACGCCGAACCAGCCTGGATGTATTCCGCGTTACAGGAGAAGGGACACACCGTCTTCTACTCTGAAGAAGACGTGCGATTGCCGGCACAGCTGAGACCGCATGGCGGATGCGGCTTTGACCAGCTGCAGACATATATGCACCGACAGAACGTCGCAACGGGAGCTAGCGCGCCATTCCAGCACTTAGACGAGACTCCTATGAAGCTGGAAATGGTACGCGCTGTGATCAAAGGGGCATTTTAAAAATACATAGAAATACGTATATAGTGCAAACGAAATTTCTAGTTGGCGTACAAGCTAGAGCACATTAGCCCCGCCATGGTGGTCTAGTGGCTAAGGTACTCGGCTGCTGACCGGCAGGTCGCGGGATTGAATCCCGGCTGCGGCAGCTGCATTTTCGATAAAGGTGAAAATGCTGTAGGACCGTGTGCTCAGATTTGGGTGCACGTTGAAGGACCCCAGGTGGTACAAATTTACGGAGCCCTCCACTACGGCGTCTCTCGTAATCATATGGTGGTTTTGGGACGTTAAACCCCACATACCAGTGAAGGCGAGTGCACATTAAAGAACACCAGATGGTCCAAATTTTCGGAGCCTTGCATTACTGCGTGCCTCATACTAATATTGAAGTTTTGGCACGTAAAACTAGAGATATTGGAAATTGTTGTACCAAGACAAGAAGCACAGATGCTTGAACGAGTGGTTCTACTTCTGTTGTTTCGCGTTTTCCGTCTCAGCTTGCATCATGAGATACAGTGCAGGTGTATATATTACTGTCGCGCTAAATCAGGTGATACACTGACCTGACTGTTACATGCACTACCGGAGTTGTGGATAAGACTCTCAACCATGGACATCAGTCATAATAGCGTGACTGCAGCTTGGGTACAACTCCTAGGGCATTTGTCTGAAACACTAGAGCTGTGCGGCCTATAATTTGTTCCATGTAGAGCTAGTCGCTGATTCTAAGAAAGTTCCAAGTCGCACTCTGTCGTTGACCCTTGCCACGGGAAACGCTATAAAAACTCTCTTTTCGTAAAGGGAAGAAAAGAGCTACGTGATGCAGTGCAAGTGATTCACTAATTTGCTATATGTACTGTACTAACTATATACGCTGCTCGGGTAGGATTTGCTTGACGTTATAAAAATTAAAATGTTTACGCATTATTCTTGTTCATTATTTCTCACCGTGCTTGTTTACTGTTTTTACTGTTTTGCTCATGCATTATGTACATGACATGCTTCTGTTAGAGTGTACTAGAACTTTTGAGTGGCGCGACCGAAACGCTTTCCCCTTGCTTTCTCCATCCCCAACTTGTGGCGAAAGTAGCGGCGGGGCTGCCATCGCCCAATCTTCCCACTTGGTTTACTCGGCTGGCTCGGCGGCATGGCCGGCATCTCGGTTTTAGTCGCGAAATGACGAAGAAGTAGCGTCTAAACCATTGTTACGCGCCAGGTTGCACAACTGGATATCCGCGTGTGCAACAAAGTCGGAAGTTATCACTTTTTAAGGCCCCGAAAGACGAAGAACGACGACTTCTTTGGGAGCGGAACCTCCATCGGCTTGACAAGCCGCTTGGCGCCGATTGTGCTGTTTGCGAGGTACATTTCAAACCGCATTTCATTGTGAGAGACTACGTACATGTTATCAATGGTGTTGAGTCCGAATTCCTAGGGAAACGCAGACACTTGCCCCTGATGCAGTCCCGACGATCTTGCCAGACCTGTCTGCATATTTGACGCTCAAAACTCCGGCTCCGCGGACCCAAACAAAGCGGCGTCATCAGTGTGTGCCGGCTGAGAATGACAACAGAAAACGGCGACGCATTAGCACTCCTGCACAGCTCCTTGTGGATACCAACGGTGCAACTTCTGCAGATGGCGACGAAGCTGACGAGGCAAGCTCAAGTCCCTCGTCTGACGCGGTTGTCACACTCGGTGACTTTCGTGGTCTTGTCCTACCATCAAAGTCATGGGCGCTGCACGAGTTTCCTGGATTTTCTGGCGTGTCGTACGTAGCGTGCTCACTGAATCCTAGCACTCGTGAACTTTGCATTCAACGAGCCGTATACTTCACCTGTGCAGACAATCGAATCGTGCAATGTGAAGCGTTCGTGCAAGAGAAACTAATCAGCAAGTCCTGTTTAGTAACTGTTCGAGAAGCCTCAGATGCTCTGCAGCTTGTTGCAAGCGTCCCACTCTGTTGTAGAGCAGAAGAAACTTCATTTTTGCCACCATCGGACCTTACCCACGTTCTACACGCGCAAATGAAGTCAAGATGAGAAATCTTCTACAGTGTCAAAAGCGCACAGAAGCACCTAAAATTGAGTAGGCTATAAATTGCTACAGTGGCGTAAAAAGGATGTCATTTTTCGTGCATATTTTCTTACACTCTTAATTTTTTTACGGTACACCAAGAAGAAAAACATTTTTTCCTAGAAGAGGCTTGTAAGCGAGAGAACGTGCAAATAATGACGCGAAATCTCAAAATAAATCTTTGATCTTGAATCTTTTTGTATTAAACCTGTGATGGTAAATTTAGCAGCATTAGGTATCTCGGTGCATAATTCATCAATCTAAGCCAATTCATTGTTGCACTTCAGTGTCCCTTAAAACGATCTTTCGACCATAACATCTTTTTTTTAAAATGCATTTTAGAAAGACAACCTTAACTCTGTCATTCTGTTTGCTTTGCTTTATGTTATCTTTTGTATCCTGGCTCTATATATTACGTTTTTTACAATTTACCTAATTGCAAATGTATTGTTTTATAAATATGTAAACCTTGCATTTTTATGTTATCAATTATGATTAACATTAGTTACGACTCTGCTTTGCAGTGTTGTTGCGTTTTTCAAACTCTCAAAATCTTCCACTACTATGTTTCACCTAAGCCATTCTTTTGCAGTATTACGTATTTGCATTTCTGTGGGTCCTACAGCAATGAATCTATTCCCATATTTTAAAACCAAAGGGATGTTTGGAAAAACTCTGCTGTTCTTCAAATATTATCAATAAAGCCTACCTTTTGTTGTGTGTGCACGCAGCCACAAGTAATGAGCCTTTTATTTGAGTCCAGCTTTGGTGTTTCACGTGGAATGGACCAAGAGTTCTTCGTTTTGTGTGCACCATATTCCTTTTTTTTGAGGGGGGGGGGCGCTTCCGGTGTGTACCGGCCAGCTGGTTTCTCGTCTAAAATGTGTACACTTTAAAAATTAAAAAAAAAACGCACTGGTTATATTGTACAATGTGCTATGCTGCTTTGGGCTGCAGTGCGGGCCTCAGCAACTTCAATAACAATAATGTCAAATAAGCTTTATTTGCGCGAAAAAGGGGAGGTATGTGAATAAGAAAAAAAAAGAGGGAGATTATCTTCACACTAGGCGCGACAGAGAGGTACCAACACGTACGCGGAACGCCTGCCAGCAATCCACCCGGGAAGATTGGTCGACGCCAGCGCCACGGCATCATTCCACGCCGAAACGGCCGCTCCCAGGCAGCTGCTCGCGCCACTCAAAAGCTTCTAGTACACTCTACTTCTGTTTCAACTGCTGTAACTGCTCAGTGTGTGAAGTGGCCAGGTTCCTTTCAAGCTGCTAATTACAGCTTTTTCGCCTGGTCTCATCCCAACCTTGTTGAAAAATAAACTCAATACCATAAAAAATCATTCTTAATCGCATACTCAATATAAAATCTATCGAAACGCCATCTTGGCCTAATACGATGCAGCTGATGCGATTTGAAGGATGCGTTGATGGATATGTATAGCTGCTTCTGCTGTTCGTGGCACAACTTTGTATTCAGGAATAATCTAATCCTGATACGTAGAAAATGGCCTTGCCTGGCATATAGTTCAGTGTACTTGGATTCAAACAGGATAATCGATGGCGTCGCCCCTACCAAAATGGCGGGAAGCGACGCGTCCGGCGTTCCCCTGACTACGCCGATCCGCCCCCTGGCAGCAGGCGCAAACCTCGGTCTGGCAAGGGCCGTCGCAGAAGCTCGCGCCAGGAGTCTACGCGACGAGTGTGCCATATGCAGGTACAGGATAAGTGCTACCATTATAATTCTCCATCATGACGTCACAGTGCATGACGATAGTTATAGCGTGAGAACAAAACGACGACACAGAGACAAGAAGAACACGAAAGACACGAGTCACACTTCTAAGTCACAGTGCAGTTGAGTTTAGCGCTTGCCTACAACGCGTCAGACATTAAGGATGAACTAAAATTAGGGACATCTGTTAAGGTGAAAGGAAATTTTCTCATTAGTATATGGCGAGACCTGACGGTACTTCGCGAGACCTGGTGAGGCTGTGGTGTCAACACGAGCGGTACAAGTGTAACGCTATCAAAGATCGTGTCATGATGGACTCACGGAAAACCGAAATTTGTGGCGTCTTATGACCACATCATCATATGACTACGTCGCTTGATCAAAGTGTGGCTGATCCTGCAGTCAGTGCAACAGGAGTGAGGGGTGTAAAGGTTCAGGGTGAACAGAGGTACTTATCGAGGGTCTCGTGAAAAAGTTTCCACCTTATCGTCAGCTAAAGGAACAACCAATAATGTGTGAATAATAAAGATTTCCATCATTGCAAAAGCCATTTGACGGACAGCTTTGCAAACATTCCCGCATTATACCTTATAGGTTAAACGTTCTTCCTAGTCTAATGTTTCTAAATTTTTATCTAGGACCTTTTCTAGTTCGATGCCATTGAGATTCCTGGTCGAAAATAGGGTAACGTGAGTAGCGGGTCAGATATGTGGCATTTTTAATCTAAAATTGCGAAGCTGTCTTAAACTGAAACTGGGAAGACGCACTTTTTTGATAATGGCAATATCGCAGAGTATTCCGGAAGAATTTCTTGCCAGTGGGCTCGTGTCCCCAAAATACCTCAAGCCTATACTGCGGTTAAAATCTGTACACCCGATATCGTTGGCAATCAGGAGTAGAATTGGATTTTGCTCTTATGGATTGGTAAATTTCAATTGGGCTTGAATTAGCTCGTAAAAGAAGTGTGAATGGTAGTGAATGAACGCTATATAGCAATATTTTATGACAAAGTTAACATCATCCCTGCGCTTTTTGTCAGTTTCGTCTTCGCTATAGCAATATTTCCTGACAAGAGTGAAAGAATAAGGATGAAAGAAAGGTAGGGAGGTTAAGGCTGAGCCTGGTAGGCTACCTTGCACTAGGGAGGGGATAAAAGGAATAAAAGTCAATTTTTATGACAAAATTAACACTATTCTGGCGTTTTCGTCGGTTCCGTCTTTTGTTGCATGAGCGTAATGGCGACGACTAGACTTTTAAAGGGAGTGGTCCTCTTATACTAAAGGCGCGTTATTCTGGACTGTCGGCAGCGCTTTCTTGTTTTAGGCAGCAATAAAGGTCATAAAAATGCTTCAGTTTTTTATTCTTCAAAACAGATTGTGTAGCGGCTAGTTGGAGCATAACAGATACGAAGGCAACGCTGCAATGTTCGCCAAGACGGTAGACGATGACGGCCCTTCGTTATGTTTTCAATAGCCGCTTTTTGACATTTCGTTTCATTAAATTATTTGTTAATGTAACTTCGTCTGTGACGTCCTTGTATGCATCTTTGTGAACCTTGCAGCGCTACCTGTTTAGTTTGTTTCATACCGCACCACACCGGACCGCTTTTTCTCCAAGGAATATGAGCATGCTCTGCGTCTTCCATTATTGCAGTTGTCTTTTGCTCCAAATATGCTGTCTTGGAGGGAAAGGACACGATACCGTAGCTCAAAACAAGAAAAGAAACAATAAAAATAAGAAAGAAGTAGGAAGGCTGGCTCCTTACTTCTAATATTCTAGTTTGGCTGTGCAACAGTATGTCCTACAGTAAGTACCAGCTCAACCAAGAAAAAATTAATTGTCTAACGATAGCAAATTATTAAAAGTAACTGAGACACAAATAAATCACATTAGATGAAACCACGTTGCTTGTTCAGGCTCCGACTACTGACGCAGCGCTGGTTTAATAGATGTGGCTCATTTTTGATTAACAGTGAGGCAGGATTTGGCTCATTTTTGAATTGAAGTTTGCCTCTTAGAGTTCACCTTACAATAAGGAATTGCTCCATTCGAACTATGTTTGTTTTAAAAGTAAATGCTATTTAGGAGTGCCATACAATCGCGTGAAATTCAGTCCAGTCTAGCTTTTTAGATTTGCTTCTTTTAGAAAAAAAAATAACACAACATATCAAAGATAGTTTACCCCAGTGAGACAACAGGATATTTTCTTTAGTGCACTGATTTGTTTAGAGCACTTGCGCTGGTTTCTTTTTGGTCAAATAGGTCGTCATAGATCACCTGCTGTACCAGTTCTTCATGAAAGGGGCGGATGACAAGACCGCTCGCGAGCGCATCACTTCGATGATTGGCACACATATGGCGTCCACAAACTTAATATACTCCACTACCGACTTCAAAGGGATCGTTGGCATGCGCTTTGTGATACAAGACCTTAGGGTGAGCCCACTTTCTTTAATCGCCTAGAAAAAAAATTAGGCGGTATCTGCATGTTGATCTGCAAATGTTGTCGAAAGACGACAGTCTTGCGTGTGGAGAGAGTGAACAAAAAAAAGTGCCGCCATATCCACGAAGTGAATGATGATGAGTGGGCGAAGCTCTGAAGGTAAACCTCGTAAACCATGAATCCTCCGTACATTTTGCCCACTCGATTTCATTACAACGCTCCCCCTAGCGTACGTCGCCGCACTAAATCAAACGATTGCCTTCCACAAATGACACGCACCATATGTGACATCGTTCCCATTTTATAACTTCTCGCATCTTTCGTCATCAACTTCAAGTACTGCCGTCTAGTTTATAACATCTTGCATCTTTTCATCATAAGCTACAAGTACCGCCATCTAGTGAACACTGCAAGGACTAAACGAGAGGTGGCTACATACAAGGTACGGCACCGCCATCTAGTGAACACTGCAAAAACTAAACGAGAGGTGGCTACATACAGGGGACGCACAGCCCACGCCTTAAGGAGCTTCGCCCCTAAAACATTTATTTGATGTTCTGCGCAAGAAAATCAGTGAATGGTATTCCGGAGGCGCTGCGTTAGAGTGCCTCGAGCGTGCAGCGGAGGCGAATGAGCGCATCAAGTAACGTCAAATGTGAAACATGAGCGCCATGCGGTAGTTTTTTGGAAAACGAAGCGCGTGGCTCTGAGATGCGTGTGCGCGCCCGTTTTGGAGGTGATAAGGTGTACAACGCAAGGCGACGGATAGGTGCCACCACCGTCTCGTCTTAGCAAAGCGTTGGAAACACTCGCCTTTTTGGGCAAGCTTTATTTACATGGTCAGCGCATCGTGATAAGCGCTACGCTCCTTGAAATTATTTATGTAAGCTTTTATTAGTAAAAGACACGCGTGCAGGATATATTCGTGTGTTTGTGGTGCCCCATGCAGACATGCACAATAATTACTTTAAAATTGACAATTGCACAAGTATGAACGCCGAACCTTGAACAACATTGGTGGGCGCTGTGCATGGGGTCGGCCGTTTCGAGTACCTAATGCTGTTAAGAGTGGACAAACAGGCAAATGTTCAGACAAACAGACAGGCAGACAGACAGACAGATTAAATTTTTTGCGTCGAAGGTTCCCAAGAAAGACTATCGTCTAAAAAACACAGACACGTGTGCAAAATGGTTAACATAAAAGAGGACAACTACTGCTTGCGCGAAATTTCTTAGGAAATGGATGGAACGGACACAGATGGGCACAACTGATTTTTATGTGTTTGTACGGGGTAACTGGTCTGTGTGAGTTACCTTTTGCTGGTGTCTGTTTTGCTCGTTTTCTCAGAAATTTTGCGCAAAAAAGTATTTGATCTGGAAGTACCAACTATAGCTCAAACGCACACCTTGTAAAGGGGACAACGTTGGGAAAGACACACAAGTAAGCAATTTATTAGAAAATGCTGCCGCTCAATGATAAAGACGGGGTGAGAAAGCTCACAGAATCAGGGATTTAAGGGGACACACGTGATCTTGTTATAGCTTTTATTATCGGCCCTATTTCAGTCGCAATGACGGTACGCTCTTCCTGCTGGGACACGGGAAAGGGTTGGTCTATTGCGAGGAATTCATCTATAGTGCAATGCTACTCACTCTACTACATTAAACTATTACTGCGTGGCAAGCTGCTGGTTAACTCACTAAAGCAGGTTGTGGCGCTTGAGGTGACGATGGCGGTGCATCCTGTGTTTCGCAGATTAACGACACCAGCGCCTGCGAGGGTGCTGATGCGGCGAGCAACCCGTTCTGCCGGAATGACCTGGATGCCAACCTTATGCTGCAGCTATTCGCGTTGGAGGAGCGCAACGACTTCTGCCTGTCGTACGCGTGGACCAACCGAGACTTGGGTGAAGGAACTCTGGGACTCGCTTACCTGGCCTACGCTAGTGGTAACCACCGCATAGACCTTTTGCATTCGCGAATGCGCATGCGCGCGTAAGACGAACTCGCACTATTGCGTGGATGACGTCACTGGTCGAAAGCATGTGTGTAACATTGATTCTACGCTGAAACAGTGGAGACTCGGTTTTGAAGTCTGACCAAACGAAACGTAGCGGTAGGTAAAAACATTTCACAGCTGGATTAGCTGTTAATAGTTCTTCCGGTTTGTCCTCCTATTATTGCCCGGGCTGTTTCTGCGCTGTTGTCCAGATGTTTGGGGTGTAATGCGAGCTCAGCGCCTTGAAAACTATATATGGTGTACTTCTGATGGAAACAATACGGGACTCGTATTTTTAATTTGATACTTATCCACATATTTTTTTAGTTACAATCATTCTTGGCAGGGGCGTGGTCATGATAATATTTAACTGGGAGGGAAAAAGAGGAGTCAATCTGACCATCCTGTTTTTCTATGAGCGGGTACAAACGCAAGTAAAAACTGTCCTTATTTCGGGAAAAGGGTAGTTTTCCTTCCTCAAGATTTATCCTGGTTGCGCTCGTCGTACGTTGTGTTGACGACAAGTCTTTCAAGGAGGCGAAAAAAATTGCCCGCAGCTTCCCTCGGGGGAACACTGAGGAGGATGCGGAGCGTAACTCACGCTGGCCGAGGGAACTCGACCGGCAATCAATGACTGCTTGCACGTAGCACACTCGACGTAGTCGGCATAGTCGGTGCCCTTTCCAAACGTATCGCAAAGAACCGACAACGCTTTGGAGTTGTTCTGAATGTTGCCGATCCGAGTTAAGTTGTTATCGAACCAAAGACGATCACACACCTTGCAGGTGTGGCCGAAGCTTCGGTCGAGGAAGTCGCGCTTGAAGCGAGCGTTGGGCGTGGCATACTGCTTGGCGCGCCACGCCGCTACCTCGGCGCGCTTGCGCTCGCGGGCAGCATCGGGATCGGCCTCTTGTCGCCGACGCTTGCACTCGGCTTCCCGTTTTCGAAAGTCCGGGTCCTCTTGTCGACGCTTACGTTTCAAAGCGGCCGAATCCCCGGTGCTGCTGCTCGACGCTGACGTCTCTCAGCGGCTTCACGTTCTCTAAGTTGAGCATCTTCCGCTCGACGCCGACGTTTACGTTCGGCGTCGCGAGCTCTTCTCCGCGCTGCCTTGTCTTCGGACGACGACTTGGTTGCGGTTCCGCCAACATTTTGGCCGGCGCTGGTCGAAGGGACGTCGATCATTGCGACCTCGGACGTCGACGCGCCGTACAAACCAACCGACGAGCGGCAACTGAGCGAGCGAGCACCGACCTTGAGTATATATACAGCGCGACGGCGCATGCACTGTCAGCTGTCGAATGTTCGAGAAGGGGGAGAAGCGCAACGGCGCATGCGCGCGCGTCAGCTGCCGATGTTCTCGAAGCGCGACGGCGCATGCGCGCGCGTCAGCTGCCGATGTTCTCGAAGCGTGACGGCGCATGCGCACTACATTATACACCTAGCGAATGTTCGTGAAGAGGAGAAGCGCACGCGGTGTGTAGAGGAGGAAGGGATGCACAGATGGTGGAAGAAGGAGGAGGAAGCTTGCGGACGGCGCCGCACTACAAGCCTCGAGTATTAGATGCTCCGCATCTAAAAAACAAAAGACTTGCGGATTACAGAACAGCGATCAATGTACTTACGTAAATACTGATGACATTTTGTAAAAGGAACATAAACACTACCAACTTACGAACAGTGCGCTGCATCGTTGTGCGCGGCGCTTCGACGCTATACCACTTTCGGTCTTTTTCCCGACTTTCTTTCTATTGCTAATCGTACCGAGAAAAGTGAAAACAACAGAACTCAATACATATGCTATCAATTTGAAGAGTCAGATTTTTGAGCCCCGTGAAGAGTACAAATGGTCAACTCTCGAATATCGAGTGAAAGTAAATGCAGTAAAAAAGCTGCGTACAGCATATTCAGCAACAAAAGCACCATACATGATTCGATACATTCTCATCGCACGTTTCATGGCAGGGTTACATCTGGTTCACGATCACGTTGACAAAGCCGATAGAAAAAGTCTGTTTCATGGCAAGGGCGGAACAGTCAATGCGTTGACTGTTCCGCCCTTGCGAAGGAACGCAGGTTCCTCGAAGGTTTCGGTGCGGGCAGGTAGTTATTTTATCTTTACCTTTCTGTTTCGTTTTCTTCTTGGTTTTTTCTTTGCTGTTTTTCAGTGCCTTTGTTTTTGTGTTGTTTGTTCTTGTTTTTCTTACTCATGTTCTGCTCTTGTGCCATATGGTTTTTATCACATGGTCACTGTCTCCTCTATATATTTTCGTGCTCTGCGCAATAAACTCAGTTGGAAGTTAGCGCTCGTGTCTTTCGTGTCCTTCTTGTCTCTGTGTCGTCGTTTTGTTCTCGCGCTATAACTATCGTCATGCCATACCAACTAGCCCAAGCTGCCACATTTCTAAATTACGTGGCATACCATCACGGCTTGAGCCACGCCCAACGACAGCCCTCGCAAGATTTCACTTGCACATATAACATCCGATGCATTGAGTGATTGTATCTGTTTGTACTTTATACGGAACGTGATGGCAATAGCTGTTCATAGAGTTGCTATCGCAATAATATTAATTCAGTGGTGGGTGTGGTGCTCATTCAGCGAGAGGTTTCAAGTGTCGTGCCGGATGAAGGCGAGACATGCATACTCAACATTAGGCAACTGATTTGTGTGGGTTACCTCTTGCCTGTGTCCATTCAATATATTCTGTTCAAAAACCGAAATAACAATTAAATATTCATTTGAAGCGCTCTGTGTTTATATTGCAGCACTTTTCGACGTCTATACTTTCAACAGGTTTGCTTCGAACCGATACCCAGTAATATTTCGTTTTGTTCATGTTCGACACACGCTTACGCGCGTTACATTATATGGGCTCGGGTTCGGGTTCTGTTCTGGCAAAAAAATGGTTTTTATTCATTTCAACGTCCTGATTTAATGATGGACATTACTGTATTCTCCTTCTTGTTTCACTTTCGTTTTTCTTGCAGTGTCAATATCATTGTCATCCAGTTTCGGTTGCCACACAAATCTCGTGACAGTGACGAATAGAACAGCGATTTACGTGCAGCGCTTGAATGACCCGATGTGATGCGTATGGCCTGCGCGAGACACAACAGTCACCAGTCACCTCTTGTATATCTGCGTATAAGTAAAGCAAGTTATGTGAACGACGAGGCGGGGCGTTGCCGCGATACATTTTTTATCCGTGTGCTACACCATGTGTGCCTGTTCTGTGTACGACAAAACACAGTCAGTCTAACGTAACTGCCTGTGTTTACGGTGTGTGCTACTCGTTCGCAGATAAGCTGGGAGGTGCGTGCGAGAAATTCCGGTCTGTAAACACCCGCGAGGGCATCCGGCGCATGGCACTGAACACGGGCGTCATAACGCTGTACCTGCACGGTGGACCAGTTGCGTTGGCCGTCAGCGAAGTCACAGTCGCACACGAGATCGGCCATAGTTTCGGCGCATTGGTAAGTTAACAGTGCTTCAACTTTCCTTATAGCCCCGCCGTGGTGGCCTAGTGGCTAAGGTACTCGGCTGCTGACCCGCAGGTCACGTGATCGAATCCCGGCAGCGGCGGCTGCATTTCCGATGGAAGCAGAAATGCTGTAGGCCCGTGTGCTCAGATTTGGGCGCGGGTCAAAGAACCCCAGGAGGTCGAAATTCCCGGAACCCTCTACTACGGCGTCTCTCAAAATCATATGGTGGTTTTGGGACGTTAAACCTCACTTACTATTACAATACAACTTTTCATATATATACCAACACAGTGGAACGTGTGCTGCTCTTCCACCGCAACATTTATAACGTATGCAGGTATATGTAGCAACAAACTGGTTGCTTCGATGGCAATTGCCGTTTTTTATACACTGGATCTCAAACAAATACTAGTTGACTTGTAGCAAGGTTACGCAGATGTTTCAGCAGCGTGTTTCGTTGGCGCGACTCGTCAGCTATATCGAAGAAAAATGCACGAACGCGGGGAAAGTGCCAGGCGCGCGTCGGTCAAAGCGTATCGCACGTAGAAGGTGGCCACATTCTTTCCATATACAATAGCATGTTTCAACAACCAATTATGTTTTCTAAGTACAATAACAACTGTATATTATGACATCGTGTATTATATCGGGATGGTTATTTGAATATTTATTATTTGAAAGCCAACTAGAAATAGTCGCACCACCTAATTAGGTTCTGCTACGGATATAACGACGAGAGTTTTGACTTACTCTACAGTAATCTTCTTAATTGAACGTGCTCTTTTCATACTGCAATCTTAGCTGTAGCTTATCTTGTCTAGCTTACGCTCCTATCAGTTTTAATTGGTAGCGCTTCTGAAAGTAGGTGTACCCCACTTTTCTTTCCGGGCTATCTTGATAGTTGATTGCAATCAGGGTCGCAGGAAAATATATTTTTTTTTTCCGAGACCAAACTTACTCTGGACAAATGACCTGCAACAACTGCCTAAGTACAGAACATTGCTTGTCAAAAGAAGCCACGTATGACACAAAACAGCGGTGCCCAGTCGCTTTTCTCAGGCCAACCGAGAGAGTTTCCTGAGTAATTGGGAAATGGGTACCCGCGAACAGCTGCTTGTGTAAGACTGGCAGCGCAGTGCAAGTCGAGGCAGCCACTATCTGAAAGCCTTCCATAGACCTGCAGCAAAACACGAAACAGTTATACAAGACCCCTGTCAGCGTAAGCGTGCGCAGGGTTTCGCATTAGGGGTAGTTGAGTTTCACACTAGTGCCACCCGCGCCACTTAATCGAGTGAGAAGCAGCTCCGTAATGGATGCAAGAGTGAAAATGAAAATACGACGGAGTGCTCACGACAGCAGGCCTTCATCTCCTGACATTCCTGAGATGAAAATGGGAAATGCAGTTCTTGAAATTAAACAATTCTTGGCTGCTGCTGTTGCCAAAAACCCGCATGCCATGAATTTTGTATAGTAAAGGGCAGGTCCGACTAAGTAGAGGTGGGGGACTAAAGTGTAACCCCCCTCCCTCTTCTCCTGCTTCCCCTATGCAAACGTCTGTGTCTGTCAGTTTAGCCAAACACGACAGCCACTAAAGTTCTTTATTCATTAGCCCTTTATCGAACGAAGTTGCAACACAGCTCGTTTCATACAATATTTTTGTTCCAATAAGTGTTTTTACGGTGTCGCTCCCTGCACCGCGCCTACGTTATTCTTTTTTTGCAAGCTAGTCTCAGCTCGTGACAATTTGCTAGGTAAAGTTAATGTCTTCGTCGTCGTCGTCGTCGTCATCATCATCATCATTATCATCATCATCATCCCCATCATCATCATCACCACGACTACGTCCACTGCAAGACAAAAGCCTCTCCCATGTTCCGCCAGTCAACTCGGTCCTTTGCTTGCTGCTAACAACCGTAAACTTTCTGACCTCATCTGCTCACCTAACTTTCTGTTTCCCGTTGACCAGCTTGCCTTCTCTTTTGTGATCCGTAATGACCAGTGGTTTCTTGCCTTTCCGCTATGGTACCGTGACCGTATTTTTCTTCTTGGTTTCTGTTATGATGTCCTTATCACCTGTTTGTGTCCTGATAGTTTGCTCTCGTTTCTTCCCTTAGGGTTTCACCTATAATAGTTTCTTTCCATTGCTCGCTGCATCGTCCTCAACTTAAGTTTAACCATCCTTGTAATTCTGCAGCTAACGTATGGTGCGCCCCGCCGCGGTGGTCTAGTGGCTAAGGTACTCGGCTGCTGACCCGCAGGTCGCGGGTTCGAATCCCGGCTGCGGCGGCTGCATTTCTGATGGAGGCGGAAATGTTGTAGGCCCGTGTGCTCAGATTTGGGTGCACGTTAAAGAACCCCAGGTGGTCGAAATTTCCGGAGCCCTCCACTACGGCGTCTCTCATAATCATATAGTGGTTTTGGGACGTTAAACCCCACATATCAATCAATCTAACGTATGGTGCGACAAAGAGTTGGGATTACTGTTATCACCAATGACTTTATCGTTTAATGAATGGAGGGTTGTAGACTCGTAGGTTTAAACTATGCAATAATAACCGAGTTAAAACTATCGCTAACCGCACAGCTCGTTTTATATACGACCTAAATCTTTTGTCTGACTTTTGTAATGCTTCTGCAGCATGACGAGACACCCGAGTGCGCCCCTGGTGGCGCCAATGGCAACTACATAATGTTCGCCCGGGCAACGACTGGTCGCCAACCATTCAACCGGAAATTTTCCCCCTGCAGCATACGCGGCATTAGCGCCGTCTTATCTGCCATCCTCAACGGCCTCTACGATAAGGAAAACTGTTTTCTGTGTACGGCTCTGTTGTTTTCTGGGCAAGGTTTTTCGCATCACGGAGTGGCAAATATCGCTGCTACAAACGCTTCATAAGTTGTCAGCACACGGGTCAGTTGTAAGTGGGTATACCACTTTAGGGATACGGCTTGACGTTCCCCCGTATGCATCATGTGGCGTGAATGCGCTGAATATCAAGTGGTCGATACAGACATAAAACCGGTTTAAAATAAACAAACGAGGCTCGCTGTTGCTTAAGCAAGTCATTATTCAAACGAGTCTGCTGTTGTTTAGGGAAGCCATAACTCGTATTGAAAAGTACAGCCTATATATTATTACATGTATGCGCTTTATTATGTGCTTATTAAGGTGTTAAAGAATTGATGTGGAGAAGTGGCGATGCCTTCGTGACAAGTAGTGGAAACAACATCGTGTCGAGCCTCGGGCGCTTGACTTGTGCGTATGCGCTGCGTGCAGCAGCGCGTTGACACGAACCGCGGCAAGACAGGTTTGAATAATGGAGCCTCGCTCGTTTGCCAGTATATGATCGATATCACGCCCACCTGCCACTGTTTGCAGCAAATACTGTGAGTACGACTTCGTCAGTGCTACAGACACACACACGAAAAATCTGATAAAAATGTATTACGGCCTATTACGCGTTACTGTTTCACTATGACACCGTGACTGGCAGGCTTGCACTAACAAAAACAAAAAAGAGGCGTCATAAAATGGATTTTCTGTCTTTTAATACTGATAGCTGACAATTTCACACAGCCAAATGATATGCTTTATGACTTCTTGGATTTGTGTAATATTAATGTCCGTTTAAGTTTATTTCAGCTTATATTGTAGTGTATGTAATTAATTTATTACTGGGTATACTTTTTGTTTTCTATTGTTTGTGCGTGATATAAATGGGGCTACATTGCGATCATCTCTCTCTCCTGTTTAAACACACACACACACACACACACACACACACACACACACACACACACACACACACACACACACACACACACACACACACACACACACACACACACACACACACACACACACACGCACGCACGCACGCACGCACGCACGCACGCGCGCGCGAACTGAAATGCTTGTGGTGCTGTGGGTATTGCGTGGATAAGTAAAAAGAAATAAACCTCACATTGAGCTTCGGCTTGGTGCCACTTATTGCAAGTGAAAGCATACGATCCACCTCCTTATATGCAGCTCACCAGGAGTCCTTCTGTGGCAACAACGTGCGCGAGGAGAACGAAGACTGCGATTGCGGCTACAACGAGAAAGACTGCCACGACCTGTGCTGCTACGCGCGCAAGAATTCGCAACACGTTCCTGGCTGCACGCTGCGTCCTAACGCACAGTGCAGGTGCGCGTGAGTAACGCTTAAGGTGGAGTTGTAATCGGAATACATTTTTATTGCAGCGCTACCATACGTTATTTGTCAACACAGTCAAGTATAATATTGCTCAGTCAAGCCACTGTCAAGTCGATATGAGGAACAAGTGACATAAATAGCCATTCAGAACGTGTAAGCTTGAGAACGTCATTTTTATATGATAATGCACTACGTGCAACGAAGAAAGAAACCATGGTAGGCGACAAGTAAAAATCGGGAAGAAAGTATGGTGCACGGGATGTTAAAAAAAGAGGGGGTAATGTGTTCCGCTCGGTACTATAAGAAAATGCATATCGATCTTCTCTCATTCTAGCTAATGGCGCTGTACAATCATTTCAACATGTTTGTTCCCGGTTGGCATAAGTTAATTACTATATATATGCACAGAGGCCTAACCGAAGCACTGACTGATCATTGGCAGTAGTAGAAACCATTTGAATGATGTGGTATTCACAGATTCTATACTGTTGCGGATGGGTCTATCTATAGGTTGTAGTTTTCTGGTGATTTCGGCATTCTATTAAAAACGAGCTGCACCGTGCTTGAGTTTTCGTAAACGAACTGACCGCAGATACAGTTCTTCTTGAACTAGCATGAGAAGACAGCCAACTCTTCGTAAGCAGTTCAGTGTATCCTAAAGAACGTGTGTAGTAATTTTTTTCTGCAACAGCGTGATTCACGAAAGTGTCATAGTATGGCTTAAGAGCACTATGCAGAAGACTGATATGCAGAAGACTGAAGATCACTATGCAGAAGCAAGTCTGGTGGGAAAGCCCCACTTTGTGTTAGACAAGTGCTTTTGATCTGATTTTGATTTTAATGAAGTGCAACAAAAACTACACCTCGGAAAGAGAGGACTAAAGGCATTTACGCCTGACGAGGTCCCCCCACTGAAAACAATAACAGTTTGCACATGAGCAATGGCAACAAAAACGGAAGCAACTGAAAAACTTTTAAAAAAGTAGTATTTCACGTACAAGTGGACCCTATAATCAGCAGAAAAGAACTTACGTAAATCACATACTTATAAGGGAACCCGCAGTTGAAGAGGAGATTCACCGAAGGATAAAAATAGTCTAGCACGCATGCTCTGGACATTCTCAACTTGCCTTTTTCGCTAACGCGTAAACTCTGCAATCATTGTATTTTATGAGTTCTAACATATGGGGCAGAATAACAAAGAAACTTGGGAGAAAGCTAAGGGCCAAACAGCGTGCTTAGAAGCGAGAAATTATAGGCTTTAATTTAAGAGATTAGAAAAGAGCAGAGTAGATCAGATAAGACGACAGGAGTAGTCGATATCTTGATATTGCGAGACAGAAATGGATCTAGGGAGATAACGCCGAACTAAGAAGATTAATTCTCATTTTATACATGCGATATTCACGTGTATAGCACGACAAGCACATTGACTCTTTCCAAAATGAGTTAGTACGTGACTTTCCCTGAACAGAGTCAATGTGACTCTCTAAAAAGAGTGCTAAACATGTGACCCTGACATGCGTATAAAAGAAGAGTCAAAGGACAGTGTTCCTTTCTTAGAGTGTATGAGGAGAGAGGACAAGCGCGACCGAGGACCGGAAATAGTTTAGGAGGAGGAACGAAAGCAAGAACCTTTCCAGAGGGGAACGCCAGCGTCGACGTTATCGAGTTACAGAAAAAAAAAGAAATACACGTGGGCCATGTATGCCATTTGTACGGTGTAAATATTGGTAGGAGGGAGGCATGCTAGATTAATGGAAGGGCATAAAGTGGATTCAGCCAGTGCAGGACAGGGAAGGTTGGCGAGTGTTTTCGTCCTGCTGTGGGCATCGGATATGCTCTGGGTGATAATGATGATGCAGTTGATATTAAGAGAGTAATGTGAACTTGAGAGCAAGCAAAGGTCTTATGTGTATTACGCATATCAACCGTGGCCAACGGTGGTATTAAAATAATATCTTAAATTGCATAAGCAACTACTACAAGAAAGTGGTTTTGAAAGTGCGAAAAGGGTATGACGTTGGTTTCTTGTACAAGTGGGCCTGTAAAACAAAATAATTTATATCAATCCACCACGTCGGTGAAGTCGTACACCTTTATGTTCAGTTTTACCTACAGTAAACTTGTGCTCCGACACCATATGTTGATTGATATGTGGGGTTTAACGTCCCAAAACCACCATATGATTATGAGAGACGCCGTAGTGGAGGGCTCCGGAAATTTAGACCACCTGGGGTTCTTTAACGTGCACCCAAATCTGAGCACACGGGCCTACAACATTTCCGCCTCCATCGGAAATGCAGCCGCCACAGCCGGGATTTGAACCCGCGCCCTGCGGGTCAGCAGCCGAGTACCTTAGCCACTAGACCACCGCGGCGGGGCCCGACACCATATGTAGTCCCTATAAAGCATAACTTGAAACAGAGACGTTAATTTATACAGTTTTGGATTTATAAACATCTTTGCATTTACGCAAAAGGGAAATCGTTGCTTAAAAAACAAGTGCGTCCCCACTGGTTTTGCCACTAAAAAGATAGCTACAGGTTTCATAGACGGTGATAGAATAGCGTTGCAGAAAAAAAAAAAAAACGTGGGCCTTGCTGGCAACTTTTACAGAACATATCCGATGGCATGTTAGATTAACGGAATCGTTTTGAATGCTTGTCAAGTGAAGCGAGATGAAGGCGGTCGAGGGGCAAACAATATTAACGACAAGATAGGTACTCACCGGGCAATGTAAGCGACTGTTGCAGAGAAAGGCCTTCCTTATGCAGCATTCATGAAATGCTGTTGACAAGTTACCGCGCGCGCAAAACGAACCTGCCGAAACGCTTGCACACCACTTGTACTGCGACATGTATTTGATGTTATCTCTGTGCAGCCCTTCTGCTGGAAGCTGCTGCAGCACGGACTGCCACTTCGTCAGCGCGAATCAGCAGTGCTCTGCGGAGAACGAGTGCAATTACGCTTCCTTCTGCAGATATCCTTCGCTAAACGAGTTTTCATTCCCGGGCCATATTTGCAGTCAGCAGGTTTTGTCCCGCCGCTCAGTTTCTCTTGACGGGTCGGCATCAAATGAAACGCTTACGGCGGTAAACATTCGCAATGATGCAGTGCGCGCCGTCTATGGACAGGTGCGCGCATCTAGTTCGGCAATACTGCATATGCACGCCTGACAACTATATGCCTGGTGCTTTTAGGGTTTCGTTTGACACCATTAGTACGTGCTGTACAGTGCCGGCTGCCTGGCTATAGGGTGGCTAGAGCCACCTTAGCCTGGCGATGTTCGGGTTTCATTTGACACCAATAGTACGTGCTAGACCTTCGCCCAACTCAATTCTACTTGTTACCGCTTATTTGAATATATCTAGGTCGTTTCAACTCTTATTTTGTGGCGCGTACTCGGGTGAAATTTGCTCGGTTTCTTAGTTGAAGAATGCTGACAGCGACTTGTGAAGCTGAAACGGGCTGTGTCAACACATATTCGACAACTTACAGACGTGAGCAATATAAGACAGACGGCTGAAGTTAGAACTGCTGCGTATTGTCATGTGGTTGTGACGGTGAAGCAAGCGGAACTGCAGCACGTAAGGGTGAAATGCTTTATTCGGTGAACTTGTGCGCAGAAAGACGCTCAGTGCAATGATAGCTTTGGACACAATCATTGATAATCTGATCAGCAGTAAAGCGCGTTGGCATTTATATACGTGGCATCGAAGATTACAGCGCTATCATTTGAGGACAAATTATTTGCACATTGAACGCTATTGTACGCGTTGTGCCCAATCTTATCAGAATATTCTAAAATAATCGAGAAGGTTCCTTGGTACTTTAGTGCGGTTTGCGCAAAGCATTGTAACAGACTGGTTGAATAAAATACAAAAAAAGAAAAGCTCGCGAAAATATGAAGGGGGCGCAATTAATTGTAAGAGGTGCCTTTCTGCTTGGGCATTGCGGTTTCATACTGCTTTTAACCGCTGGGACCTTTGTAGGACAATTCCTTTTATATCGCTCACGACTTTACAGCCCAAACGAACTCTGATTAGCATTGTAGTTGACAGTCATAGCGGCAACATCACGACACAATGCGCTGCTGTTGTCGAGCACGTTGATGTTGAGAAGGCCAAGCACATTGCATTTTTCAGAACACGGGCGGTCGGCGGAAAGGAACCCACCCTACATCCAGCCTGTTTGATGAAATCTTATACGCCACTATACGACAGTCATCGTGCCCTACCATGCACGGACAATTACCAGCTGTTTTTATGTGCTTTTTTGCGCTGCCTTTGGAGAAGCAGAGTTCTTTATCTCAGTTTTCGCAGAAACGAACTATAATTTTAGAAATGCGGCATTTAAAATGGATTGCTTTCTGCCGGTCATTCCTGTTTTTGGCAAGTGCAACGTGCCTGGCACTGTCACCAATGGCAGGTTCAGGAACCGCAACATCGCCTGTCCTGATTTCGCAGCTGTTGATGATGATGATGTTTGATGTTTTGTGGCGCAAAAGCCATTTCACGGCCAAAGAGCGTCAGTTCATCTTATTAAGATATGGACAATGATTGTGATAAGCGGCTGTATAAGGGCCATAAAATTCCTCGCGGTAAGGCGGGTAAAAACATACAAGTAATAAAATCATGACCATGCCGTGAAAGGTGTGTGTGGTGTGAATAGATGACAAAAGTTGGTGATAATAAGATTTCGCAGCTGTGGTCTGTAGTCACTTGTATAATCGTTTTTCAGTATGAAACTGTGCACTACCAAAAAAAAAAAAAGATAAAGGAGGCGTTCTGAAGAAGCGAGTGATGTCTGTGACCATGAAGGAATTAAGGGTGCATGGGGGACTTTATACAGTTACTTTCGGGACAGATAAGAACCGCGATGTTATGACAGCAGGCATTTTCAGCTTATCATAATAATAAAAAAAGAGGACAGTGGTTGCTCCGGTTGGCGTATGCATCCTTGACGAAAGGTGATCACCGGTGTGGCAGCGCTGTGCCCCGAACCGCGGCACAAGGCCAACCTGTCCGAGTGCAATCGTGGCACGCAGGTGTGCCTGTCGGGCCGTTGTGAGGGCTCCATCTGCCAAAAGTACGGCTACGACGACTGTCAACGCAGCAGCAGCGCTGGCTCATCGCTCAGTCCCGCCGACATGTGCCTCGTGGATTGCATGCGCGCCGGTCAGTGGCCAGTTCTGCTAATTTCACCGTTAATTGTTAAGTGCACTAAAGTGAATTCAAGTGATGCCCAATTATCAAGTGGTTGAGCCATACTGTTCACGTGCAGCAAAGACAATTTGTCTTTTCATTGGATTTTTTCGACATAGAATATGCAAACTAAACTGTCTAAGGAGGGGCGTAGCCAGGGGGTAGCCCACCAAAGACGTGCCCCCCCCCCCCCAAATTTTTTTCGCCATGGCATGGGGAGCGAAAAATGGCCATTTTCAAGGGGTGACCCTCCTGAAGTCAAAGTGACCCCCCACCCCCTCGAAAAAAATTTCTTGTTACGTGTCTGTGCCTAAGTTATTAGGTTTACTGAACAAAAGTTCACAGTTTCTGTGCTTTCCCGCAGAAGCTAATGCTCAATAACACACTTGGCATCTCATTCGCAATATTGTCACATGGTTTGAAGTAGGGTGCCAGGAATTCAATCCGTGGGCTTGTCATCTCAATTAGTCATTCAATCTTTAATAAATTCGTAGGATCGTCATTTCATTTGAAATATTGGTTACATGCTTTGAAGTATGGTTCCAAGAGTTCAATTAGTATAGGCTTGTCATAATACATAAGAATGCAGTACGAGCTGTTGCTGGCGCACAATACAATGCCCACACTTCCGATCTATTCCGCGAGTTCAACATAGTGAACCTTTCTACCTTGTTTAAGCATAAGTTATCATCCCTAAAATAAGAAATCGATGAGCGTGAAGCAACAGCACTGGCTGTTTTCAACTTTCCGCTCGATATCTGATGGTTTTTCATCCATCATCATGAACACAGGCACTTTTCACGATCAAGCACCAACTATGCCCTTAACGGCGTTAAAATAGCCTGCCAAAATAATAAATAAATATGAGCTGAAAAAGAGCAGTTGGGCGTTCGACTGAGGAAAAAAAAAAAAAGATGTTATTTCGCTAACACGTACTGTACCTGAACCGAAGTAAGTGCTTCTGTTTATTGCCAGTTTCGCTGTGTGCAATCCTTCTAATACAAAATGCTGTCCAGAGTTGTTTTTCTCATTTTATGTATTGAAGTGTTATTGCTCATGTAAACCTCGTTTACATTATTTAAATATTTATGCTGCTGTATTTGCATATCGCAGTTCTCTTGCATATACATCTGCGCTTGTTGTAGGCTGCAGGTTGCAGTATAAACGAATGTATGAATGAATGAATGGATGCATGAATGAGCGTATACTATGCTTCCTAACTATCGCTGAATTTCGCTATCTCACGTAATCATAGCGGCTAAGATATGCATAAGGCTACTGGTGGTTAAAAGTTCCGGCTCCTCTTGACAGACTATTGACTTGCATGAAGATTGTTTCTTAGTCCACTTGCTCTTAGAGAGCAAGGAATATTGATGGTGTGCGTTTGAGTGTTCCTTGTAACAGTGGACCATACTGTACATGTATGATCTGTACTTGTTGTGGGCAATAAACTCAAACTCAAAACCTTAGCTGCCTCAGAAGGGCATTTGCGAAATGTTGGCGAAGCTGGCGCTAACATTCAGCCGTGCAAGCCTTGAAACAGCGAGACTGGAAGATTCTTGCTTCCGGGTTGTTTTAAGGCCTTAGCTAGGTGATGAGAGTCATTTCTCGGCTTCTTCAATGTCGTTGCTCGGTTTTAGCTAGGGGCTACGACGTTATAGCCAACTACAACCTAGTATTACGGCATTAGGCCAAGTACGCTGGCCAAATACTATAACGTGAGAGCCAAGTGCGTGTTTAGAAAAAGTGGTTAACGATTTAGAGAAATAGATACTCTATTATGAGGGAGCATAAAGCCGTCTCGGGGTATTGCACGTGCCTAGACGGGAGAAGAAGAATGGTACGTTGTTATGACGTTAACCAACTACAGTGAACGATCAGTTGAACGAACGTCGATATAACGAAGATTTCAGCAAGACAAACCTTCAAAAAGTCCCCTGTGCTTCTCTTATGCATTCTACGCAAAAATCTTACAGTTAAACGAACTTCTGAGAGGTAAATATTTCAGTTGGATGAACTTGCCGACTGTGCACCCGGGCTTATTCTTGAGGTCAGTGCAATGAAGCTTTGCGCACTTCAGCGCTGGCGCAGCCGGTGCGAACCAGCCCCAAATCGCCTATCAACAGCGGTGCAACGTCACTTGTGCATACATCGCCGCCGACGCAAAGTGGTCGTGCGGCTGATGAAAAGCGGCCACGCATGCTTCAGCGCATGCGCAAAACTGTCAGATTTAGAGATTGCTTCCGGTGTTCAAAAGAAGAAATGTGTGGCGAACAATGGCTGGGGAACGTTGTACTTTTGGATGAAATTGCTATGAATTGATTGATTTGATTGATTGATATGTAGGGTTTAACGTTCCAAAACCACCATATGATTGTGAGAGACGCCGTAGTGGAGGGCGCCGGAAATTTCGACCACCTGGGGTTCTTTGACGTGCGCCCAAATCTGAGCACATGGGCTTACAACACATCCGCCTCCATCGAAAAAAAAAATATTTCTATCGGTCACCGCATTTACAATGAGTGAATGGTATCGTCCGCTGTTCTATTGTTCAATCACCACCACCACCACCACCATCATCATCATCAGCCTGACTACGTCCACTGCAGGACAAAGGCCTCTCCCATGTTCCGCCAGTGAACCCGGTCCTGTGCTTACTGCTGCCAATTTATACCTGCAAACTTCTCAATCTCATCTGCCCACTTAACCTTCTGTCTACCCCGAACCCGCTTGCCTTCTCTGGGAATCCAGTTTGTTACGCTTAACGACCAGCGGTTATCCTGCCTACGTTGTACGTGCCCGGCCTATGTCTATTTCTTCTTCTTGATTCGCACTATGATATCCTTAACCCCTGTTTGTTCCCTAACCCACTCTGCTCTCTCCTTGTCTCTTAAGGTTACACCTACCATTTTTCTTTCTATTGCTCGCTGCGTCGTCAATCGTTCAATCGCAGGAGACTGAACGTTCTCGTAAGGACACTGTAGGTGAAATTTCTCGTCTGTGGCGGCGCAGGCACTGACGGACACTGTGTGGGCACCTGCAACGAGCCCACGCTGTCATCGCTTTGCGGACGAAAACGCGAGCGTGGAGCTGCGTGCAACCAGAACCGCGGATACTGCGACGTCTTTCACCGCTGTCGCACCGTCGATGAAGACGGACCGCTGGCGCGCCTCGAACAGTTGCTCGTGCCGAACAGGCTGCGGGAGTGGTTCAAGGTGAGCTTAGCGCGCACACAGGGTGGGTGAGCGAGTGTCTTACCCCCGTATTCGAGAACGTCCCTTCACTCAACGCTTCACCTTCACCTGAGAAAGCCGATGGGAGCGCCATCTCTAAGCACGGAAAGTCACTGCATATCAGCGTTAATCTTCTGCGATTCTTGAGCAGCGCAGCGTCGTTTCGAGACGAGCTGTGGCGCAGTGCTCTACTCTGTCGAGTGAAGGGTGAAAGTGGAGTCGAGAAGCGTCCGTGAATACGGGGGTTATTTCTGGATCTTACTTGCGAAAAAACACGATACGATCACGAGACGCTTGTGACAGGCTTCCGATTAATTTCAGCCACTCGGAGTTCCTTAACGCCTAAATACAAGCACACATGCCTCTATCGCTCTGCCTTTATCACCTAGCTAGCCATAACGGGAAAAAAATGATAATCTCTTTCAGAATATTGACTTAGCTGCGTAATTTGTTGATTCGCACAGCGTTACACGTGGCTGGTCGCGATTCTCGGCGTGCTCTTCCTGAGCGGCGTGCTTCTCTTTATTCGTTGCTGCGCCGTGCTGACACCCACGAACAACCCGGGTCTCCCGAAGGCCAGGACCTTAAGGGAGAGCGTGCAGCGGCCGATGGAAATTTTTACGGTACGCCACTATGTTGTCTTGCGCCTTCCTACGTTTTTAATATCTTTTTTAGATTAACTATATGGTTTAAAGGCACAGTACTCGCAGATTCAAACGAAACATGAAATTTTAAGTACAACAGTTGGTACGTGCAATTTATCGAGGTAACCAGGTCATGACGCGAAGGTTCTGGTACCTAAAGGTTATGTTGGCTGATCAGATTGGATGACTGGGCTAGTTGGTGGTTCGTGGTCGATGTATCTATAGGCGTTCGAGTCAAACTCACGCTGATATGACTCGAAGTCAGGACGATGGAAACTTAAGTATGTGCATTACTTAGCCCTAAATTGACCCGCTTCAATGCGTGAGTGCTGTACCTTGCCGACCTAATCTTCGGAAAAAGTACATCCTCCTAAAATATGTCTACTTGCAATGTTCGAAGAAGTCATCGGATAAGAGCATTATGTGTATCGCGCCAGTATGTACTTCGGCGGAATACGCGAGTAACGGCAAAACACTCAGAACTAAAAAAAAATTATGTCCATGGCAAGAAATTGTGGTGTTTTCTGTTCAGCGGGTCTTACAACAAAGCTCAGTATACTGCTTTCTTCGGCGTGCATGGCGCGCATTTTTAGCGCTTCGAAATTAAAAAGTGGCCCGGAGATCACTGAGTCTAGTGCAAAGATAAACTAGCTAAGGTTTAAAAGCACGCTGACGAAAAACAAGTAGAAATAACCGTAATACTTAGTTATAAACAAACTGAAGAACTAGCATGAACAGCGTAACGAAATTTCTAATTCATAGTTGATATCTCGTTGAGCTAGGAGCTCCTTGAGAGAAATACTGAAGGCGAATGAAGTGGAACAACTATCCACGTGCACTACGTCATTAATGGCGTCATATGGGGACATCATTGTGTTACATCGCAAAGACGTCACACGTCACAAAATTTTGGGACGTCATCAAGGCGTCATCGTGAGCGTCACGTAATGACGTCATCACATGGCATCTTACCTTGGTAGAAGGCAGTTTTTGCAAACCACCTTAGTTGCCAAAACGTAGGTTGTGGGAGGGCAGTGTGATAGACTGAGAGCGTGAAAGTAACTTAATCCGCTGTTTCTCAAACGGTGGATTGTTATGTCTTGAAGGAGGTCTGGTCGCCCAATTTTTTAACGTAATGCATTACCAAGTGTTCAGCACTTTGCATTGAAGCATGCCTTAGTGTAAGTGCGTTTAGAAGATGCATGCGTGAACCAAGGGAGCCGAAATTCAATAATTGGTCTGACTTCAGCAATATAACATTTGCCTTTGTGCTTGAGCTTTTATCATCATTGCCGCCGTTTATGGTGAAGTTTTAGTAAATGATCGTTTATGACCAATATATATATACTACTAACTTTTTTCTAAACACTATATTTTTGTGCGTTTCAGGCTGCTTCGACGTAATCGAGCATCAAGTGAGCGTGTGTGGGCTCAATGGATTTCTTGAACCCACGATATACGAGGACGACTTTTCATTGAACTGATGTCAACAACTTTTAACTAGACATTGGTTAAAGGTACATTATATTTATGAATGTTGTGATAGCGAGAACCAGAAATATTGTTTTATACGCCCCACGCATGACGTAGTATAATAAGGAATTGCTATGAACTGGAATGTTTTTTTTTGGGGGGGGGGGGGAGCTGAGTGTACTTGAATTCGTCTGTGGCGAGGGTTGACGTTGGTGGCTACTTTACGCCAAATTGGCTCCTTTGTGACTCCCTCTAAAAATGAAAAAAATAAATGACATGTGACTGTGCGTTCCGACATATCAGCTTAGTTTTTTCAGTTGAGAGTAATATCTTAATTATGGGAAAATCTTCGTCAATGTTATGCATTCTGTCAACACAAAAGGTCTAATCTGGGGCTCGTATAATCACGGAAAATATCGAACAGCCCTATTGACCTCTTTTTTGAAAAAAAAAAAAAACAGAATCACAGCATATCCACAAAGTGAATGATGATGATTCGGCGAAGCTCCGTGGGATCATTCTGGTAACCGTGAATCCACCGTACTTTGCCCACTCGAATATGCAAATGAGCGACAACACGTGTGTACAGTAATATGCAGTGTTGTTTTATTGGTCGTATATGGTAAGTGGGTGTGGAGTTCGTTTTCCCTTCATTACGGCTGCCTCAAAAATCGCTGAAACGAAGAGTTAAGGATTATTGGATTGGATGGAATGTGCAAAGTCGATGCACATTCCATGGGCATTTTATGCAAATACGATGTTTATACGCGTCCCCCTGGTTGTTGTTGGTTGTTTATAGTCATATAAAATGTATATTAGAGCATATTGTGATGTAATATGCTGCACAAGCCAGTCATCGCTCTTGACACTTCAATAAAGTCACGACACAGTATGAAGGGGCTCGTATTTTGTATCATGGACGGCAAACTCTCGCTGCAGATCAGCAATGGCGTTGGCTCGAGAATTTTTGTTCTTGATGCTTGCAATCTTCGTCACATTGTTGTGGAACCGCAAGTGGGTGTGCCCTTAACTAAACCGTTCTGCGGTGCCGCACACCTCGGGTAGCGATGCTCCATGCGTTTTGCAGCCACTTCCCACGCTCTTGCTGCCGTCTCGTTTCACCTTTGCGAGCTCCCAACTGTGGGTCGGCTTATACCGACGCTTCCGTGCCGCACTAGATTCGCGTTTTCATCCATGGCAGAAGGAGAATGAATTGTCTAGAACGCGCTTATTCATCATCATCAGCCACAGCACATGGTAAACATAATGCTTCACATATGCATAGCGGGTACCTCGCTTATCAGCAGAATGATGAATGGCATAGCGTCAGAGTGGGTGCTTAATCGTTATCGTGATAGTGGGTACCTTGCATGTGCTGTGCCGTGACGGTAGAAAGAGGATGTGTGGCTTGGAACGCGCATATTATTCATCGTCATCAGCACCATCGCCATCGAAAAATAACGGTGGACATGGCTCAACTTTACGGAGCTTTCCACTCCTCAATTCTTGGATTTTTCACCTTCCCTGGTCGGCGCGGTGTTCTCGGCCCGCTGAACACTGCACCGTCTCACTGAAGCCGCACTTAGAATAATTGCGCGTCCTTGTTCCAAGGCCCCTTGAAGTATACAATGAGAATTCGTCCCTTAAGAAATAGTTGGGACGAGAGAAAGCTTGTGATAGAGGATAGCGACAAACATTTTTTAAAGACGATTGGATCAATACGAGCGGAATCTTTTCGAAAAGAAATAAAAAAAGAGTATAAACAAAGAGCCTTATCTTCGAAGGTTTATCTTCGAGCTGTGCATCAATTGAATTTCAGAGCCCAAGCCTAACCCGGGCCCGCTGCCTGCGTCGAAGGCCCGTTCGCACTGGGAGCCGGTATAAACCTTTTAAAGCACATGAGCGCCGTGTGGACCACCTTTGAACCACCTGGATTTGGACCATTTAGGTTTGAGTAGCGGAGAACTGTGGAATAATCAAGTTGTTGCTTGAAGGTGGGTTTTAAATATAATATTTTCACGAGGCTGACTACATACAGTACATGACAAACACCTCTCTCACCGTCTCTTCAAATAATTATGCTCTCGGCATGATGCACGCATGTTATCCCCTAAAATGGTTTGACCTCGGCAATCCGCGTCACCATATCGCGCTTGGCTTGACTTGGTATCTAGTCTGTTATTCTTATTGGCCAGCGGTTAGTGCAGCTTTTCTCTACGCGCTTGAAAACAGCAAAAGGGCAAGTGATGAGAAAAGGCCTGAAGACAGGGGCATTTGTTTCAAGCTCTTCCTGAAATTGTTGCAAAATGAGCAGCGATGCAGGAGTACTCTAGCTCAAGCTAAACAGGATACCGGAAATGTATTACCTACGCTTTCTTTATCTAAAAGCTGGCACTACAACATTTTTCGCAAAAAATGGGCCCCACTCGAAGTGTCTGTAATAGTTCAAATAATTAGAGTGGTTGTTAATGAAGAAGTTGTGGTCACCGAGCAAGTTTTTCACTGTCATAAATGAATGTGGGCTAGGAATCGGTACGGGTCCTGGAAGCTCTCTCTCTCGTGTGTATGTGTGTGTGTGTGTGTGTGTGTGTGTGTGTGTGTGTGTGTGTGTGTGTGTGTGCGTGTGTGCGTGTGTGTGTGTGCTGTTGCGAAGCGCGCCTCCGACGACGTTACGAAGGGCGCCACGAATCTCGCCACTGCCACCACTGTTTCGAAAGACGGCGACGCCAACACGGTCCCGAAGGCGCCACTGCTTCGAATTCCACCGGGAAGGTCACCAGCCGTTTGGTAGCGTAGGTTTCTCAGCTCGCGACTGCTTCTGCGCAGAGCTGATAGACGAGCGGACGAGACGACGGTGAGTTAAACATGGTTTATGTACAGCATATATACAGAGGCGTTACAAATTCGGCACTGGGGCCGACAGCTTAGAGACCCGAAGAGCCGAGCTCTCCTCTCTAACACATAGGTCTACTGCTCACGACGCGACGCAGGGCTTTTTTTTTTATATGCATCGGGTGCATTCTTTGAGTAACCAAATGTCCAACCAGAAGCGCCGCTGGTCGTGAGGTCGGAATCCTCCAATGGGGTCGCCGCTGGGCCGCGTCATTCTCATCGAATCCGGAGCCGCTGTGCTGCACCTGGCTGCACCCAAGGACGAGTGACGTCGCCACGCATTGCGTCAGACTCGCCAGACAGGAAGGCGCCGACTGCTTCGAAGGGCTCGCTGGCTGAGGTGACTCACTGTGCGTGCGCGGCAGAAAGGCACCGCCGCGCGAAGACGCCGTTGAGTTGTTCGCGTCAGGCGGGCTCACGGGCTGGCCTTCACACAGATTGCCTTTTTCAGAGACATGAACGTTCGCTGCGGACTCGCAGGCATAACAGTGCGTGTGCGTGCGTGCGCGCGCGCGCGCGTGTGTGTGTGTGTGTGTGTGTGTGTGTGTGTGTGTGCGCGCGCTTTCCAGCTTCACTTGGTCACTGGTCACAACATTTCAGCATCATGTTAAGTTTCATCGAGCTCTTGATTACATAAACATGTCGTTGCGTGCGCGTTGTCTTCACATGCCGAGTCATAAAGAATCTCCTTGGTTTCTATGCGAAATCACTGGCAGCATCTTTGCGTGGATTCCTGTGGTGAGCTCTGCTTGTCGCATTCCTAATTACAAGTTTTATACGCTGTATAGACCCTGGGTCTCATTGGAGGCAGTGTTTCAAACTAATGACAGAATTCTGTGACATTAATATCTGCTTCCAAAAATTACAGCTCACTGTAGCGGATCAGAGGTCGTGCACGTACAAGCAATAAACACCGCATGTAGCACTCTAACCATCCTGCCTTTCATACACCGCACACGTACGACTGCCGAAGCAGTGAAGTCCACGCGATGGACGAACTCAGTCGCACGAAATGGCGCACCTACGCCAGCGCTACAGTCCGGACTCGGCAGCCTCACAGAGCTGTCCACCAACGCCTGGATCCAGCAGTGCAATCCTAGAGTCTTCAGTGCTGTTGCTGCATGGTGCACAACGTACTTGTTTCAACGTAGATTGTTGGCGGGCCAGTTTATAGATACCGAGCGAGAGCGTGTGTGCGGTAGCTTCAACGGGTGCTTCAACCGTTATCCCGCTGTCAACCTTCTTCCCACTGTCTTTGTGCTAAGATTAACGAGTGCAGTATTTACGAATATTTACTGTACAACGCAACTTGCTTAGCCGCCTGTACTTTCATACATGCGTTGGCACACGTTTGGAACAATCAGAGAAATTAACGTGAAAGACAAGACGAGCGTGCCACGCTGGCCTGCATAAAAAAAAGAAAAAAAAGAGAAAATACTTTCACATGTACTTTGTCAAAGCATATTTTAGATAATGGCCATCAGTATAAAAATACTGAGCACGAGTACCATCACAAATTGCTCTTCTGCAGAACTAAACGATGTGGGAAGTCTCCCTATATCCTCCCTCGGTAAAGTGTGGGCCTTGTGCATAAAAAGCGATCAAGGTTGTTGAATGATGCCCCACCGCGTGCTTCGACAGTTTGACAAAACATGCAACCAGCCGTGCGAGACAGGCCATAAGAGAGGGGAAGCAGCTGTGTCGGACATAAACAGGATGCAACCGTCTGCACGAGCCGCTGAATGGGCCGGAGGTTTCCATGCATGCTTTCCGGTGTTGTGTATGTCCCCTTAGAAGATTTATCGTTGTTAATATGCGGGATCTTTCGGCTATTGGCGCTCACAACAGATGATGATGATGATCATGACGATGATGGTGATGAGGCCCTATATGTAGATCCTAGACTACTGGCTCACACCTATCCTGGGGCCAAGAAACGGGTAGCTCAGAAATGAAAACAATTTAAATACCAGAAAACAAAATAATTTCTCATTCTGTACAACAAAAAAGTATTTTGTGTATGGCTCACACCTAGAGCGCCGTGGTTTTCATTTGAACTTGGGTCGCTTGCTTGGTTACTCTACAGACAACGACACCCACTGCGGGCGTATGACCAAAAAGCCTTCACAGAATGATAACAAAAGGAAAATATCGGGAAAGTAGCACGACTTATGATGAGAAAACTCTAGTCGTATGGCTAGTGGTGGCAAAAAGAGCGAAATGTCAACGCGACAGCGTTAAGGAACTCGTTTCGCTGAAATTCTGGCCTCGGCGTTATTGCTTCTGAGCGAAAGATCATCTTCTGCGTGACCGAAAAATCGGAAAAGATAAAAATAAAAGAAATAACATTTCCGAGTTTGAGTGAGGATTGAACAGAGGCTGTTTGCGTGGCAAGCAGGCGCTCTACAACACAGCCACGTATCTGCCTGGAAATGCACGCATACTGCATATAGGCCACGCAATAGAACATGGAATATTGCAGTATATTGCGCGATACAAGCGTACATTGCCATCGGGCGTCAGGACATGTAATTATCATAATGACTTTGTGGTTTAAAGCCGGTGACCCATTACAAAAGGCACACGTAACTGATCGTATTCACGCAGTGGGTGCATAGCAAGGTGGAAAAGATTCCACGGACATAATTGCTCGTGGTTTAAACTTGCTGCCCATTACACAGGATGCAGCCATACGCGAAATCTTCACTCACAGAAGCCACTTTCGCGTTTATAGTTTACGTTGTAGTAATCCACAATTTAAACTTCTGGAGTAACATGTAACAAAAAGCATGCACTATGTGGTTGAAGTTGGCGCGTATAGGGACAGAGTATCGCTATTGAATTCAACTCTTAAACCTGAAGCGTAAGGTTCCCCCAATTTTCTATTGGGCGACAACCGAAATTTGAATTTATAAATTGCATCTGCATGCGGGCTGACCGAAGGGCCCACTCTACAAAGCCGAGAAGGAACGACATGTTTACTCCTTACATGTTCCTTTTGTGGCGGGCTTCCCCGGGACCCTATACCCATTTAAATGATACTTGAAAAATTCATCATCAGAAAGAAAAATATGGGGCAGTGAGATTGAAATTTTAGCGTTTGCAGCACACTCTACAAAGTCTGGCTAAATTGCGGAGCACGTGCTCTACTGTTGTTAAGAAAGAAGAAGTTTATACCAGAAGAAGCTATTTGTTCGAATGTCATTGAAAGTCACAAACAAGCGTGATCGACATTTCTACTGCCTTTAAGGTGAGCACTTTGGTGTTTACTGTATGTTGACGCTACTTTGGATGCTGTCATACCGATGGCTCATCAACAAAGGCAGGTCCGTCCCATACTCGTCGCAACGGATGTGTAAACGTGAAGCAAGTAGACGCAATGCGCTACAAACGATGCTTTGACACAAAGTCTATGTTACGTTACAGCTTTGAACCTTTATCGAGCAGCCTGGAACGAGGCTGTCATCATTTATTACAAAAAAATATTTAAATGTGACACATTTCTTCGCAAACCAAACAAATGTATTGAAAAAACGATTCTTTGGGTCAGTTCAATCATGACTTCTTCTCCACAGTAGCTAGAAAGGAACTGTTTTTAAGTAAAAAGTCCGCAGATCGCACCTACCTTAGGAATCGATGTCTTGCGAAGCATGCGGAAGGACGGTGACCTTGAAGTTTTCTTTTATTGAACCACACGTTATGAAATGACGCTAAATCTAGCTCTACCATACTAATTTTGGTTCACGTCAAGTTAAAGGGGTGATCACGAGAGCACCCAGACGTCAGCGGCTAGATAGATAGATAGCTAGATAGATAGATAGATAGATAGATAGACAGACAGACATGCTTGCAGTACTAAAAACAAAACGCAACGCATTTAATAAACCTCGCTGCCAATCTTCTCATACCTACTACGATAATGTACACTCCGACTCTGACTAATGTAGAAGGGATGGAACAGTGCTGAACACGGTACAGGAACCAAAACAAATATTATTTTGTCCTCATTTTTTTCATCCTTCCCGTTATTCACACTGTCCCAATCAAGATCCTAATACTAGCTCACCATACCAAGGCATATTCGGGGTTTTTTCTAGCGATGTTATTACGAGACACTGGCGTACTAACAAGACATTTTTGTCCACCTGCGGTTTATTAATGAGAGCTAAAAACTCAGAGTATATGCGGCTGTCTGGCACTCCACTTCGCCTAAACGTGGCCGCCATAGCCAAGAAATGAACCCACGCCCTTGAGCATACTAACCCAACACCTTAGCCCCTGAACTTCTATGACGGGTGCCAGGAAGGATCAATTGCACGATTGTTTAATTGCCGGAGTGACACTGGATAGTAGGCTGAAGTCATTGCAATGACCCCAAAGACAGAATGAAGTCTGCAGAAGCCTTTGCGTCAATGAAGTTCAACGAATAGTGTGTGTGTTAACGTACACTGAATTAGGCACTTCGCAACTGTTCACACCCAGAAACAAAACTGATGGAACCTTATTGCCTTGTGCTATAGGTTATGCATCGACGTCATTCGTGCCGACGCCATCAGCATTTACACCAGCAAGATCAGCACGAACACCAACGGCCTGATGTACCAGAGCCGCAGGCACAAGCTCCATCCAGGCATCCCGTCGCTGCGGGCGCTGTGCCCATGGCTGTTCCTAACCCCGTTAAAGCCGCGGCAGATGGAGCGCGAAAGGCGAACCAGGAAAGCAACAGGTAGACAAAGACGTCACAAAGAGGCCTCTGCCTGCTCTTAATATCGCTGCCATTCCAACAGAACCTGTACCAGTGCAAAACGCAGCGCCCAGTGACAAAGGGCCTTATCTCAGCAGACATAAGGATCGCCAAATCTCTGGGCCAAGTTCAACGCGTCTTCCAAGTCCACTTCCGCTGAAGCCAATGACAGCGAAAGACAGCAAGTCAGCTGCCACAGCTGCCAAGGAAGTTGAGCGAGAAAACGTGGTGACGCCAAAGGAAGCGAATACACGCATCGCAGATGGTACTGCCGCTTCGAAAGATGGCATCGCAAAGCGAATTATTGTGGCGAACAAGCCGGCTGCTAAAACCGCCTACAAAACTGGCGAAGACGGCGTGAAAACGCTGGAGGAAGCGGCTTCGAGCAAGCCACAGATAGCAAGTGGTGCTACCGCTATTAAGGAAGGCATCGCAAGCCCCAAAACCTTTGTGGCCACGCCAGCAGCGCTGACTGTTAATGCAGGGGAACGTCCCTTGACGACTCGGGCCAACGCGGCTGCCAACAGGCTCGGTGCAGTCCTAGAAAATCAACGAAAGCCGTCTGTACTTCCGAAACCAAATGTGAAGTCTCCTACGAGCGCACCAAAGGAACCCCACGCTTCGCCGGCCGGTGCCAAGGCAACTGCAACTGCCGATATTCCAACACGCGTCGGTCACCTGATAAACAACTTACTTCAGCGAGCAGTCGGTAAATGGGAAATCCCCGAGCGGTTGCCTGAAAAACTGTCGGGGCTCCCAACGATACTGGAAGCACAAAGATCGCCACTTCGACAAGAAGCACGCGGAGCACAACTCGCGCCACTCGTCGTGAAGGCTGATGACACAAGTAAGAGCCTAATTTTCAAGCACTCGCACACGCTTGCATAACGAAATAAATGCATTTTGAGCTGACCTGCGCAAGTTACCCATTGAGATCACTACCAATGTCTTGGCTCGGCTAGGTAGCGATGGTTACCGCCACGTGCTGTAAATCCGGTATACAACTCGGACCATTCTGTACACGTTGAACTAGAGGGGCTTTATCTTTAGCCACAAAAATACATTTCACGCTGGCCCATTTGACTGACATCGGATCTGGCGATATTTCTACCCGTCTCAGAAGCTGCATTGATTACGTAAAAAGCCAAGAAACTCCTCGTATACTGTAAATAAATAAATAAATAAATAAATAAATAAATAAATAAATAAATAAATAAATAAATTTTATTTGAAGTTTATTACAGCAAGATAATGAACGCGAGGACAAGAACAAAACATTGCTATCCGAAGAAACTTGAGCTAAATATGACGTCCGCTTTACATCATAAAAGCTATGGATAAAATCGCATGTCAGTGGTTGCATTCCAGCAAGAGCTGTGTCACTTCTGGCATTTTGTGTTGTCATACTTTTGCCCATGCATAATTACAAAGTTCAGACACGAAGTAACCAGGGCCATTATGATGCTTACGTACCATATACACTTGACTAAGGGCCACGCACTTGTAAAGATTACTCCCCCCTCTCCTCCCCTCTTTGGCCGTCCAAATTTTGGAAAAAAAAAAACAGCAAACGACAGCGTCGTCCCGACTTGCATACTGAGGTGCATTTTGTGGGAGTTCGCATTCGCACTTTAAGGGAGCCACAAGATGGATAGCGTGGAGTGAGGTTTTCACAGACTTATTGTAAGGAATTTTATGGGCACCAGGATGTCCATTGGTATGAATGTCATTGAGGAAGATTGGATACATGGACGTGTGGATTTGCCGAGCAGTGGTGACGAGCCGAGTCTGAACAGCGATACCGATTGAGACATCTAGCGAGGATGTCCACAGCTACGTGCTCGATATCCCGGCGATAGGTATATATTGCACTATTTAATAGGTTTTTCCATAAGTGGATGAAATTGAAATATCTCACACTTCCACGGAAGGGCCGGAACCCATCGAAATCGAGGAAAAAAGGGGGACCTTTACACGAGTGTATACGTTATTCAAAGTTATCATCATACAGCAGAAAAAAAATATAGAACAAATTCCACACATTGCGGGTATAGATGTTGAGGAGTCGGAGAGAGTCTGGCTATGGTACATTGTTTCTATTGGACCAAGTGTTAGGAGCTATATCGAGTCACTCATCCACTCTTTAGCATTATCATCAGCCTGACCTGAATTCCCGTTTATACTCACGTCTACTCTCACAGTCACACGTATTCTAAAGCAGTGTCGTTCATATACCATTCAAATATCAAAGGGGTGAATAACATAGAGTGGCCAGCTTTTCTAGGGAAGTTCTTGATAAATATATGTTATGTTGTCATATCAATCAATTGAAAAAAAAATGTCCTTACTAGTTTGAAAGCACTCATGACTCGTACTTTAAGGTACTTATAAAAGGTCGTTAAAAACAGCACCGATTACGTGAGAGATTGGTGTTAAAGAGCATTCACACCATGGTCGAACATGCTTATTCTAACCCAACAAACTCATCAGTCGTCTCAATTAGGCTCATTGTGGCTCAAACCGAGCCATGAATCTGAGAAAAAGTGAGTCCGGTTGAGTAATACTTGGGTGAGTTGGATCCGAGTTGAAGAAAGTTTTCCTGAGAGTGAGTTCGAGTGAGCCGGGCCAACGCCTCCTTTATTTTTAGAGGAGGCGCTGTCCCGGCTCAGTAAAATTTGGTGAATCTGAGTAAGCCCTAAGCGCGAAATGTATTTCACGAGTCAGTCTGAGTGAGCTCCACAGTTTTTACCTACCTACGATCATTGCGTTAGTGCATGGGGGAGCGGAAGCCGAAGTGTTAATACATTAGTTTTTTAAAGACAATTTTGTTCAGGGTTCGAATACTTTTCTTTAATTTGTTGTGTAACATGTGGGCTTAACAAGCATGCAGACTGAGCCCTGACCCATAACTTCGTCTTTGTGCCAGTGCAAGGGGGACATGGACGAACCGAATCCAAATACTGGCATACGACGGTGGTTCATTTGAACGGACTGAAAGACCGTCTTCACGGAGCTTAACGATTAAGTTTAGGACTTGTTATTAGTGTAGGACAGTTATTGTTTTTATACAAAACAGACTAGTACGCGCACAATTCAAGGTACAAAGTTGACGCTTGAAACAATGTGCACGCGAAGCGGACCGCACAGTAAAAGCAGCTATCCTTTGGACGCCAGTGTAGTACTTGGTGAGGCCGTGAAAATTCCACTATACTCAAATTACATGAGTATATCTGTCTACCTCGTAAGACTTGGCTCGAAGGGGCCTTGATTATCTTGAAATTGATTACTAGAAGGCGTGGGATCTGCCGGAATTTTCAATACTTCCTTGGCGACAGCGCGCGATAGTTCATTCTGTGTCATAGCTCAACAGTAAGCCATATTTTTACCCATGAATAAGACCACTGTGGTCAAAAGTTGCGGAATATGGGTATTTAACGTGTATCGCGCTTATTCGAAAAGTGGTGCAAACGTACAGATGAGATCCCACTTGTCTAGAGCGCCCAGCCGGCCACTCCAGCTGCCCTTTTCTGCAGAAATATGTAAATACCGACACCGTAATTATATATAGGAAACACGAGTATACTGCGTGCTAGGCACTTATCCTACAATTTACGCATAAACGAAAGTTTGTAGCTAACGTGAGGTAGGAGCCGCGGCCAACAACAGTGTCGGCAACCACGTGCTCCACTGCTTTAGACAAGTCTGATTCTAAAAGCACAAATTTATGTTAGACGCTTCAGATTTCTTCATGCTAGTGCTTTTTATAGTCCTCCAATTTGAACATCTTCCACTCTTGATTCTTGATAGTTCAACACTACAAGATACTTTCGAATTCCCTCGTATGCAGGCCAGAAAAATAGTGGGCTGTCGAGACAAGTACCGGTGTCTGAAAAAGCTGCAGGCACTGCGAAGCCTTCGAACACCTTTCAAGAGGTTGCACTTCCTACTTTTGCTAAAAATGGTCCTCAAAACAATGAAGTTTCTCCACGCCCCGTGGAGCATAAGGAAGCTGAAGCAGAGTTGTTTAAGAAAGGTTTACGTGACAAACCAAGCATTACGGACAACCAGGACGTGGTCGATGAGAAGTTGCTCCAGCCAGTCTTTATCAAACCGGTGAAGACTGCGCATGAGGGCAATATCCGTAAACCAGACAAGAAGAGCTCTCCCTCAGATAAGCAGATGATCATTTTGAAGGAGTTAAAAGTGCAGGAACCAACCGAAACCAAAACGGCCCGCAAGTCTACAGTTGCCAGAGGTGTTAATAAGAAAAAAAAGGAAAGGAAGGGGCTTATGCACTCCGAGAAGGAAACCGACTCTTCTGAGCAGACGGAAGTGCTCGAGGAAGATGTTCATAAGGCAGAAAAGGTTTCCTCCAAGAAAGCATTGCCGCAAGTAGAACAAGTATTACCTTATCTGAAGCAGCCGACTAGTAAGAAGGCTGCCTACGCGGCAGTGAACTTAGTAGAAGCCACACAGGCCGTCGGGGAGACTAAGTTTGCCCCTGAAAAATCGCAGAAGCCTACGCACCATCACTGAAGAGAAGTTCGCAACCCCGAAGAAAGCGCTCGTTGGAAAATATACCTCACTGCCTGCAAAGCCTGCGCACGGCTATAGGGCGTCAAAGAAATCAAAACAGCAAAGGCAAGTTGCCGATATCCCGACAGTGACAGGATGTTAGCGCGAATTTAACCGTGACGATGTCCAACAGCCCTCTTACCCCGACTTCCTGCCCCACGAAAAGTGGCCAAGAGAAAAGTGAGCAATGAAACCAGGCACATGATGAGCGGCTCGACCGCAGGTACCAGTCTGGCTGGTACGACCGCCGTTCCGACTTCCAGGGCTCCTAGCACGGTTAGCGACCCCTCTCGAACAACAAAAGGCACTACCGCGGCAACATCTGCGGCCAATAGGACGAGAGGTATGCTCCAATCATGCAATATGAATTAAGACGACTATATAATAACAATCTTCTTACACGCAATCTTCTAACTGCTGATCTGCTTCGTGAACAGCGTATAGTATGTATCATATTTGTCATCTGCACATGAGCACGACATCATTAAGTGTAGTCGTGTATTTGTGGTGGATGCAGCTACGATGCAGGTTGCACCTGAGTAGGAGCTCTGAAATCAAATCCCTGCAGCAAGGTATGTGACAGAA